AGCACAGACAGGACCCAGAACTTGATGTGGACGGCTGTGGCCACAGCCCCTTCAGGCTGACCGAGAAACCTGCCCTGTGGTCCTCGGTCTTCAGGAAGAACTGCAGTTCTTCTGAAGTTCTCACCAACAACCCCATGAAAAAACTATTATTTGACCACCATGTGAAAGAACCCAGTAGGAATGAAGACACCACTAGCAGCTTTGAGTCACCGGGGGGCTCAGGCCGTTCAGTGACGACGTCTTGGTTTGGATCAAGTCATGGTCTCATGGTCCTGAGGATGAGCCCCTCTTCAGGCTCTGGACTCACTGCACAGCTGGCTTGGGATTCTCTCTCTCCCTCCCCCTCTGCCCTTCCCCCCACACCTGTGAAGATGCCAGTGAAGTGCCATGTTTACTCACATTTGGGTTTGGGGAACCGGGACACCGCAGCAAGAGCACCAGGAACAACAGCCTCTGCACCTTCATGTCTTGGTCCTTTCAAGGGGTGCTGGGGCGTCAGGGAGGAGGTGGAGATGGGGGGTGGAGTGGAGGTAGGGGTGGGTGGGGTAGGGAGGGGTGGGAAGGGGTGGGAAGGGGATAGGGTTTTAATGAGGGTTGGGAGCAGGGTAGAAATAAAGGGTGGGATTGGGGAAGGCGTTTGTCAGGAGAAGAAGGGGTCAGCGACGGTGTCAGGGTCAGAGTAAGTACTCGAGGGGAGGTTCAGAAAGGGTAGTAGGTCAGCAGGTTAGTAAATCACTAGGTCAGCAGGAAACAGTAGCAGGTGAAGGGATTGGAGGAGGATACACTTTTCTCCAAGCCTTCCCCTGGTTGAACCATTCCTTAGCAACCCAGAGGCTTTATACTCTCTCTCAGCCAATCATCTGCCTTTGCCCCTGGTAGGTCATAATGGGCACCCCGCGTGACCTCATATTTAAAGAGCCCCTTCCCAACTGGCGCCCCACCACGTGCCATCCCAATAACAGGTCCTCTCTGGAACTTTGGCCATCCTTCTTGTTTCTGCTGCCTCCCAACCCAGGTCCCTGTTGCCCTCTTCTGGGCGCTATCTCCTTCCTTCCAGAACTCCCATCCTAGAGCCATTGGCTGAACAACATATAAAGCAAAGGAGGACAGAACTGCAACAACAAGCAAATACACAAGCAGAGTGGGAGGTTTCAACCCTCTCTCAGTGACTCAAAGCAGACAGAACATCCATAACATGTAGACCTTGAGAGCAAACCATCTGAATCCCACAGCTATCTCCGTATGTCTGTCCACATCCATAGACCACTGTGGAGGACACATTAACTTTAGGCATATAGGATACACTTACAAAAATGCACCCGATCTATTTTGGTCATAAGGGACATTTCAATATGTTTCAGAGGCATGAAATCACACAGAGCATGTTGTGGTAATATAATGTGCTAGAAATCATGGATAAAAAGCTCACTAGAAATTCCCATATGTTTAGAAATTGAGAAGTACCTCTACAAATAAAATAGGAGTAAAGAAATCCCAAAGAAAAAGCTACATTGGAACCGAATGAAATAAGCATGACAAAATTGTAATCAGATATGTCTTCTGGGCTGGTATATCCTGGGATATTAGTATGAGAAGACCGAATGGCCTCAAAATCATCCCTAATTGACGGAGACATTTGAACACCTCCAACAGCGGTAGATCTGTCGCTTATCTATGTGACCCTGCTACCCACTAGCTTGGGCTTTACGATATGAACCTCACAGGGGAAACAATCCAAGCTGACTCTCATGGGATCTCTTGGGACCTCCAGGAATGAGAGCATTTTAAGAGAAAACATTCACCAGCTTCTCTCCTGGGGGATCCAAGACAACACCCAGAGAGCTGGCAGCCCCAGGTGTGCTGGACGGGGAGAGCCAAGCAGGTGGGCAGGGCCAGGGACCCAGGTGACTGGACAAACCCCCTGTGATCATCTCTCTTGGGCCCTGTCCTGAGCCGAACCTCCTAAACTGTTTCTCTCTAGGACTAACACAATTAGTGTTATCTAATTGTGAGTTAATCCCAACTCATTCAGGCCCAAGGCAGCTGAAAATCAATGCTCTACAAACCACCACTTACTGTGTAAATTTCTTGTAAACAGGAACCATTTCAGCACTGCTAAAATAGGAACGCAGTATCTTTAACATAAATATAAATATATTTATATAATTAGCCATAAAATATAAAGAAGCCATAAAAGACACGCAAACAAAAACAAAACAAGGATAGCAAAACATTTGTATTAAATTCTGTTTAGAAGCTGCTGCCCGCCTCCAGAGCCCCAGAGTCGGGTGGTCCTGGTTATAGAAGGAGAGACCAGCTACAGAAGGGGTGGAGTCAGACTATATATATATAGGCCCAGCCTATAAGGGGGACTAGGGAATTCCAGGAAGGATGGCCGGGGTCACCCTGATTATAACTGGAACAGGGAGCAGGGAAGAAGAAGCAGTGAACAGAGTTTGGGGGCCTCGAACAGGTGAGATCACTCGTGGAGGTGAGGAAGTGTCCCCAAAGCCAGTGTCAGCCTCCTGTCTACGAAGCCCTTCGTGGCCCCTGGAAACAGGGCCGGGAGCCTAGAGTGTGAGATCCAGCTGTGCTGCTTACCAGCTCTGTGACCCTGGGCTGCTTTCCTTCAGGGAGCTGGGGCGTCCAAGCCTGTGTCCATAACTGTGCTGAGGACAAGAGGAAGCCCCGTGCTGAGCACCTGTGGACATTAGCATCATCATCTCCATGGGGCAAGTGCCTTCCCAGATCCGGTGCCTCACGTCTCACAGCTGTTCAAAGCAACACTGGTGACAACCAGAGGTCCCTCCTGTTTCAGGCCTGTGCTAAGCCCTGCCCTTTGCACACATCATCTCTCGGGCTACAGATGGCAGGAGGACCTCATAAAGTGTGGGGAGAGCTCCGGGCCCCTGGGGAGGCTGAGGGATTCCTGGGCCCTGGGGAAGGGTGAGTGATTGGGGGGCCCTACGGAGGGCTGGGGAACGGAGCTCCTGGGCTCCATGGAAGGCATGGGGGATTGGGCACCCCGGAAAGGGCTGGAGGAGTCTTGCAGGTTTCCTGGGTCCCCACAGGGCAGATCCCTCCCACACCTAAGCTGGTGCAGGCTGGGACCTGGAAGCAGCACCATACAGAGGCAGCGGGTCCATGGCATGCTGGATGGAGCGGTGAGGAATGGTCTGGCAGGCAGGTGGAACCACCAGGCTGGGCTGCCCTCGGTGCCTTCCCCCTTCCCCAGCCACCTCACTAGCTTGGCCCTGACCTCACCCTCCAGCAGGGCATGGGCAAGCCAGGCAGAGGTGGACACCTGGGGCCAAGGAAGGGTCCCTCCCCAGACCTCTGTGTTGTGGTTGTTGAACAGACAACAGGAGTCACCCAGGGCCCCTGGAACCAGGGGGGAGAATCTGGCCCCAGAGTCCTCTCCAATGGGGCTTGGGGAGAATCATGGAGGGACCGCATTTAGCTCTGGTTCATTCACAGAATCAAAGCACAACACAAGTCCCCTTGGATGCTCATGTCCCTTTATTACCCCAGCTACATCCTGGGCGCTCACTCAGGGACTTGGAAGCAGGAGAGTAATGGATAGTAATTTAAAAGAACAAAAATGCTGCAATGTGAGCACTCCTTATGCTCTTAAAATCAATGTCCAACACTCCCCTCCTCACCCTCCCCATAGTGAGGAAACTGAGGCAGCCAGGGATTTGGCAAAGAAGACACAGTGGTTTCTGAGGGTTTTGCTGATTACATCTGACCAAACTCCTTTTTCCGAAGGTCACTTCTTTTAATCTCGCCAGTGACGGTTTCGGGCAGCTCTGAGACAAATTCCATCTGGTCAAGGATAAAGCAAACCCATCCCAACTTAGTCCTGCTGTCATTTCTTACCAATGCCCCAGGCTCCTCCTCTGCCCCTGCACAGTCCCCCAGACGGGCTGGCACCATGTGGTGGCCCCAGTAGGCTCCACCAAGGCATGTCAGGGTGTCCCCTGACCCGGGAAGTTGGATGCAGCCCTGTGATGTGCTCTGACCAGTGAGATGTGAGTGGGAGTGAGGCGTGCCACCTCGAACAGAACACTTGAGACCACTGGGTCTGGCATCCACTCTGTCCATCTCTTCTAGCACCCGGCAGTTACCTATGGTGGGTGCTCCTTTATCCTGGTCCCAGGAAGACCATGCGGACATGTGGCCGGAGCAAGAAAGATACTTCCCTAGTAGGAGCCACTAAGACAGGGGCTACTAGTTCCTCACAGGAACATCAGCCCATCCTAACTGGCCTGCATCCTCCAGTCTACTCTCTAGGAGGCGGCAGAGCCTTACATGTGAAGGACGAACTCCGTTTTCAGATACACTGGGTTTGAGTTCAGCTCTGCCCTTTTCTTCACTCCAACCTCAGGCAATTTACTGTGAGTCTCTGAGCCTCTCCCGTTTCCATTCTGTCAAATGGATGGTTATACCATCTCAGGTTTGGGGGGATTAAATGAAATAACACATGTAGAGCTTTGAGTCCAGCGCCCGGCACACATGTTCAATAAATATTAGCTATCTAGCTTTGGGTAAACACTCAGAAAGCACAGCAATGTATTATTACAAAAGAAAGACACGTTAAATTTTTGACCCATGTATCCTTGCAAACGTGGTTTTTCAACAAGTCAGATAACATGTATATTTATTCACAGCCTGCTTTTGTCTCTTAATAATATATTTTTGTGATGTTTTTTATGTTACAAATAAGAGATCTGCATCATCTTTTTAAATTATAGGACAGCATTAATTACCACGAATAATTTAATCATTTCTCTATTGTTGGACATTTTCATAGTTCTCACATGGCACTGAAAACGAGGTAGAAAAAAAATCTCTCAGAATGTATTTTATGCTACAATAAATATTATTTTGTTACCTTTTGTTTGTTATGTATCTATATATGTATTGGGCTTCAATTTAGAATATATTTCTTACTACAAATAATGTTTTTTAAAAGTGTGGCAGTTGTTGACTTGAATGTCTTTTTTTTTTCTTTTTTTAAAGATTTTCTTTTTATTTATTTGACAGAGAGAGACACAACGAGAGAGGGAACACAAGCAGGGGGAGTGGGAGAGGGAGAAGCAGGCTTCCCGCCGAGCAGGGAGCCCGATGAGAGGCTCGATCCCAGGACCCTGAGATCGTGACCCGAGCCGAAGGCAGACGCTTAACGACTGAGCCACCCAGGTGCCCCGAATGTCTTTTTCAAATTGTGAAAGATTTCAAATATCCTTCTTGGATATTTCTAGGCTCTTGGCTGATTTTTTTCTGTAGGTTTTTTGTCAGCCTTTTTGTTTTCTGACACAGGATAGAGGTTTCCATGATTAAGATGGATCTCCCCTAAACCCCTAAGTTGAATGCTTCTTCAGTAGAGAAAAATGCTCATTCCATGGGCTACGTAAGCTCCACCCCAGCCACCCCAGGAGATTTGGGGCAGCAGAGCCCAGGGCCCACTGGACGGGACCAGGCCCCATCCCTCTGCCCTCACTCACCTTCCTGGGGTACTTACACGGGGCTGGCACTGACTTCACATGCTGCTGTAGCTCCTTGGTGAGCTGGTCCCGGTCATGGGAGAGGAATTCCGGAGTCAGGACAATAAATGCCTTCACCACCTGCAGCGCAGAACCAGAGTGGAGGCTCAGGGGGAGTGGCAACCAAGTGTATAGTCTAAAAAGTAAATGTGTATTAAGTAAATGGAAAAACAAGTTGACAGTTGAGCCTCTGGAAAAGAACAGGACCAGTGTCCATACTTCCAATTTCTACTCTCTGCCTTGGAAAATTACTTCACCTCTCTCAGCCTCCATGTCCTTCTCTGATGTGGGGACAGCACGGCTTCATTCCTCAGGGCATGGCTCTCAAGATTCATCGAGATCATTCATATAAACCATGAAGCTCGTTTAAACTGATTTTTATTCCTATCATTATCATCACCATTTTCCCTATTATTATAGGTAGAGTTCTGTGGGCATTAAATCAATGGTGGTGATTAACTACGTTCCTATTATTCATGTCGCGTCTACAGGGCACAGGGCCTTGTCCAGAGTAGGTGCTCAGCACACAGTGAATCAATGAATGCTTGCTCTGGAGCCAGACTGCTCACATTCCCATTCTGGCTCCACCACTTGACAGCTTTGTGATCAGGCAACTTATTTAATCTCCTTATGCTTGTTTCTTTCCCTGTAAAAAAGGGTCTCAGAGTCCTTAATTAATGAGGTTGCTGTGAGGGGGAAATGAGCCGGCAGGTAGGAAGGGCTCAGAAATTAGGAGACGGGCAGCAGTAGCCCCAGCTGCAAGCCACATTCACAAGCATCATTTTCTGTCCCACATGGTTGAGGCCACACTGCTCTCTGGTGGCCACACAGTGTAAATGCACATGCACACCCCGGGGCCCCCCTCCACCCGAGGTCCAAGGTTGGAGAGACAGGACCAGGAGGAAGGTTTCCCGGCACCTGCCTTGGTGCCCACACACAGACACGATGACCTCTGTGTCCTCCTCACCTCCCTTCGAATTGGGTCCAGGCTGCTCACCAGAGCTGATTCAGCCACAGCCGGGTGTTCGGCCAGGGCATTCTCCACCTCTGCGGGCCCGACGCGGTACCTGCGGGCTCCTTCTTGGCTTCTGAGTGGCTGCCAGGGCCGGGTGACCCAAGCCCTCAAGTCTCATGTTTTGGAGGGTCACCTCGTCCCTTGTCACATAGGATAACTGTCACAGGAAGCCAGATACCTGTGCCCTGGCTCTCTCATGGGCCCCAAACATGAAGAATGGGCACTCCGTGCTGAGAAATACAACACTCACATGCTCCCCAGAGTTTCTCACCTCACTGCCTCTGCTCAGGGAGGAGGGTGAATATTTAGTTCTCCCCGAGCTCTGGGGCTGGGCTCAAGCAGCTTCCCTTGGCATGAAACCTACTAGAAGCCTCAGCCTTTATCTTAAACATTCATGCAAATTCTGCATACTCTTCCCCATCATATTAGCATGTTTTAGAAATTTAAAAGGTAAACACACTCAACTTCCCTGAAATAGCCAAGAGAACTTGTTACTCTGGTATAATGTGTCATTTTTTTTTTTCTTTCCAAATCACGTGAAGATTTAGGGACAACTGACTTGGAGCCAGACAGCTTTGGTAAATCTGGGTTGTACCCAGCACTCTGAAACTTTAGGGAACTTTATTCACTAGTCAGTAACCCAGTTCCTTCATCTGTAAAATGGGCATAACTGCATCTACCTTCTAGCACTGAGAGCTGGGTTATATAAAGCACTGCAGAGTGTGCATCCCCATAGTAAGTGCCCCATAAAGGTTTATGTTGTTGTTATCTATTATTAAAATTTTCAGTGATTGTTGTGTCCCATTAGAGGAGCCAAACATAGAGGAAGCTTCCTCAACAATAAGGGCCTATGTAACGTCTTCCTTCCAAATCCCTTAAATTGCATAATGTCTCATTATGGTTCGCCTTGCAGACCTTCTTGAACTACATTTTGATAGACTTTTCTGGATGCAGGGCTTGGGGGAGGTGCACAGGTATCCCCAGAAAGGGGGCCCATAGACAGAGCTCTGTTCAGAGTCAGCCTGAGCTAACCATCACCAAGCTTGGATGAATGTCAGAACAAGCTAGATCCCATGAGGCATGTGAGGGTGATGCCTCCCGGCTCAGGTCAGCCATACCTACCCAGAGGCATTGATGATGTCATCGTTCCTCCCCAGGAACCAGATGTAGCCCTCTTCATCCATAGTTGCTCTATCTCCAGAGTTGTAAAAGTCCCCACACTCCACTTTGGCTGTCTTTACTGGGTTGTCCTGCAAAGACAACAATACCCCTTTGTTGAAGGCAACGAGTTTAGAGATGATGAGCCACAACCTGGTGCTCAGATCTGGGTCTGGATCCCGCTCCTGGCTCTACTTGGCACCTGGGCAAGTTTTGTAATCTCTCTGAGTCTATTTTCATTATATCCAAGTACTCAATGAACACTACTTGTCAATTAGTGAACAATATTGAGCCAATTTTAAGGATAAGTTTTTAAAGTAACAACTCACTTTTGTGTGGCGCTCTAGTATAATAAAATTTCCACTAGAACATGGACCCTGTGTATTTTATTTATTGTTCTCAGCTTAGCATTCACATAGTGCCTGGATAAATGAGAGGTTCAATACACTTTTGTTAAATGAATTTCCTTCCCAAAATACTACCTCATCTGATCCTCCCAGAAAACCTACAAGGCTTTTATTTTTCTAATTAAACTGTTTATTTTAAGATCATTGTATATTTGCAGGGTACCTGGGTGGCTCATTCAGTTGGGCGGATAACTCTTGATTTCTGCTCAGGTCATAATCTCAGGGTTGTGAGATCGAGCCCTGTGTAGGGCTCTGCACTCAGCATGGAGCCTGCTTGAGATTCTCTGTCTCCCTCCGCCCCTTCCCTAACTAATGCACACATGCATGCATACATGTTCTCTCTCTCTCTCTCAAATAAATAAATAAATCTTTTTTAAAAAGATAATTATATATTTGCATGCAGTTATAAGAAATAACACAGAGAGATCCTGTGTGCCACTTACTCAGTTTTCTCCAATGGTAGCATCTTGCAAAACTACAGTTCAATATCACAACCAGGATACTGACATTGCTACAGTCCACCAATCTCACTTAGATCTCCCAGCAGTTTACTTTTATTTTTTTGTGTGTGTCTACGTGTATTTTATCAAATGTGCATCCACCACCAGAGTCAAGTTACAGAAGACTCCCGTCATCCTGAGGATCTCCTGTGTTGCTCTTTTATATCTACACCCATCTCCCTCATCTTTTCCCTCCCTCCAAATCCCTAAGCCCTCGGCAGGGACTGATCTATTCCCTAGTTTTATAATTTTGTCACTTTAAGAGTGTTACATAAATGGAATCCTAGAGTATGTAACCTTTTGGGACTAGCTCTGTTTTTATTTTTTTCACTCAGTATAATTTTCTGGAAATTCGTCCAGCTTCTTATGTTCATCAATACTTTGTTCTCTTTACTGCTAAATGGTACTTCATGTTATGGATGAACCCCAGTTTGGGTGTCAACCCATTGAAGGGCATCTGGGTTGTTTCCAGTTTGGGGCTATTGTGAATAAAGCTGCTCTCAACATTCATGTGCAGGTTTTATGTGAGGCTAGATTTTTATAGGCCATAACAGAAGAAATGAATGCTCAGAGAAGCACAATAACTCACTCAAAGTCACCCAGCTGGTCAGTGGTAGGGTTGGTATTTGAATTTAATTCTTGCTCCACAGCCTTTGTACTCAACCACCAAGTGTTTGCACTCAAACACTCAATGTGTTGAGATCATTCCTCTCATGAAACATGAAATGATTTGAAAAAGGTCCAGGAAAAAAAAATTAAAAAAAAAAAAATTGAATGACATCCCATTTTAGGTTCCCTTCCAATTGTTCTGATTGTATTAAGGAGACCCTCTGACATGTTTTTAAAAGCTCTGGAACTACCAAGAGTAAGTTTCAGGACTGGAGCTTTTAGTGGGAACAGGGTTTAGCTAGAATTCAAGAAAAATTGTTTTGTTTGCATTATAGTTATAGTTATAATTGCCTTCTGTTTTTGGCAAATCATACTGTTTTCCATTTGTGATACTGATTAACTTTTTAAAAAACATATGTTTTATTTTTTTAAAAGATTTTATTTATTTATTTGACAGAGAGAGACACAGCGAGAGAGGGAACACAAGCAAGGGGAGTGGGAGAGGGAGAAGCAGGCTTCCCGTGGAGCAGGGAGCCCGATGCGGTGCTCGATCCCAGGACCCTGGGATCATGACCTGAACCGAAGGCAGATGCTTAACCACTGAGCCACTCAGGTGCCCCCAAAAACAGATGTTTTAAAGTAAAATAATGATTATTGTGTGCATCTGTTCTAACCTATCTGGGGGGCTGCCTGAAGGACAGGTGCAAGGAACTCACTTTATGTAACTCAGAAAAAAGCAGCAGGCCCGGCTCATAGAAGCTACCAGGCAAACTACAAAAGTGAAGTTGCCTGACGTAAGAGATTATGGGTGGAGATATACAATAGACCATCAAGGTCTGGGGGAGATGCTGGAGTGAGTTTTGGGGTTTTTTTTGTTTTTTGTTTTTGAAATTAGGATGTTCAAGACAGCTATATGCATGGGGGAATTAAGACAGCCGTGAACATGCCTGGGCAAGATGCATGCTCAGCAAAGTCCTGAGAAAACCTTAAGCTTTCATCTCAGGCTGATCCCTAGGCTCAGAGCAAGTCCAGCTAAGTGGTGAAGGAGTATCCCAGCACAGAGCCAATCTGCACAGTGGTTGTTCTCTCTTCTTTTTTGGTTGGTGATGTTTTTCTTTGTTCATTTGAGCTCCTGCCCCTCAAGGAAATCTCTGTCAAAACATTAACTGAACACGAGCTAAAGGATCAGAAACCTCAGTAATCACACATGACAAACAATAGTCTTTAAAGAATTTGCAAAAGTACCACAACAAAGGACTACTATAGCCTTCAACAGTCCAAAATCAAAAAACAAAACAATGAAACCCCAGCAACCTCAACCCCCAGGGAAGTGGGAGAATCTGATTTCTAGAGTTCACTCATATGTGGAATTTAAGAAACAAAACAAATGAACATTGGGGAAAAAAGAGGGGAAGGCTAAGAAACTGACTCTTAACTGTAGAGAACAAAGTGATGGTAACCAGAGGGGAGGGGCAGGGGGATGGGTGAAATAGGTGATGGGGATTAAGGAGTGCACTCCTTATGATAAGCACTGGCTGATGTATGTAAGTGATGAATCACTAAATTCTATTCCTGAAACTAATATTGCACTGTATGTTGACTAAGTGGAATTTAAATAAAAACTTGGAAGAAATAATAAGTCAAACGTGTTAAGTGATCAAAAACTAAGAGAAAAAATGAACAAAGAACTAAAAAACAGAAAAAACTATATATGGACAAAAGATATTAAAGAATGATTCTATTTAGAATAGCAACAAAATGAATATAATACTAAGAATAAATTTAGTCAAGAAAGTGAAAGACGTACACTGAAAAATAAAAATTGTTGCTGAAAGAAATGAAAGAAGGTATCAATAAATGGAAAGACATACTGTATTAATTGGAGACTTAATATTTTTTTAAGATTTTATTTATTTATTTATTTATTTGAGAGAGCGAGAATGAGAGAGAGAGAGAGAGAGTGCACATGAGAGGGGGAAGGTCAGAGGGAGAAGCAGACTCCCTGCTGAGCAGGGAGCCTGATGTGGGACTCGATCCCGGGACTCCAGGATCATGACCTGAGCTGAAGGCAGTCGTTTAACCGACTGAGCCACCCAGGCACCCTGGAGACTTAATATTAAGATGACAGTACTACCCAAAGCCATCTTCAGGTTCAATGCACTCCCTATCAAAATCTCAGTGGTATAGAAATATTCATCCTAAAATTCATATGAAATCTTGACGGATCTCAAATAGCCAAGACAATCTTTTAAAGGGAGAAGAAAGTTCTTCTTTCCAGGGAAAAGAGCTTACACTACTGATTTTTAAACTTACTGCAAAACTACACTACTGATTTTTAAACTTACTGCAAAACTATAGATTTCATATGAAATCTTGACAGATCCCAGATAGCCAAGACAATCTTTTAAAGGGAGAAGAAAGTTCTTCTTTCCAGGGAGAAGAGCTTACACTACTGATTTTTAAACTTACTGCAAAACTATACTGGAAATAATCTAAATGTCTATTAAGAAATTGATGGATATACAAAATATGGTACACCCATACAAAACTGGCATTAAAAAAAAAAAGACACATAGATGATTGTAATAAAATAGAGAACCCAGAAAGAAATCCTCACATATATGGTCAATGGATTTTAGGCAAAAATGCCAAGACCATTCAGTGGGAAAAGTCAATCTTTTCAACAAATGGCACTGAGAAACTAGGATGTTCAGATGCAAATGAATGCAGTTACCTTATACACCATATACACAAATTAACTCAAAATGGATCAAAAACCTAAACACAAGAGCTAAAATTCTGAAACTCTTAGAAGAAAACATAGGGGGAAGTCTTCCTGATTTTGGATTTGACAATTATTTATTGACTATGACACCAAAAGCACGGGAAACAAAAGAAAAAAATAGATAAAATGTTCCTCATCAAATTTTTAAAATTTTACTTGAAAGGACACTATCAAAAGAGTGAAAAGACAATGCACTGAATGGGAGAAAATATTTGCAAAGCATATATCTTATGAGGGGTTCATATTCAGAGTATATAAAGAGCTCTTACAAATCAACAACAAAACAAACAACCCAATTTTAAAAATAGGCAAAGGACTTAAATAGACAATTCTCCAGAGAAGGTACACAAATGGCCAATAAGCACATGAAAAGATGCTCAACATCACTAGTCATTAGGGAGATGAAAATCAAAACCACAATGAGACACCACATCACATGCGGTAGAATGACTATTATACACACAAAACAAACAAACAAACCTGAAAATAACAAGGATTAGCAAGGATATGGAGAAACGGGAACACTTGTACATTGCTGATAGAAATATAAAATGGTGCAGCCACTGTGGAAAACATTTTGGCAGTTCCTCAAAAAGTTAAATATAGGGGCGCCAGGGTGGCTCAGTCATTGGGCGTCTGCCTTCGGCTCGGGTCATGATCCCAGGGTCCTGGCATCAAGCCCCACATCGGGCTCCCTGCTCAGCATGGAGCCTGCTTCTCCCTCTCCCACTCCCCCCTGCCTATGTTCCCTCTTTCACTGTCTCGCTGTCTCTCTCTCTCTGTCAAATAAATAAATAAAATCTTTAAAAAAAACGTTAAATATAGAATTACCATAAGATGCAGCAATTCCACTTTCAGGTATATATCCAAAAGAAGTGAAAGCAGGAACTCAAACAGATACTTGCACACCAATGTTCATTGCAGCATTATTCACAGTAGCCAAAAGATGGAAATAATCTAAATGTCTATTAAGAAATTGATGGATATACAAAATATGGTATACCCATACAATACCATTCAGCCTGAAAAAAAAATGACATTTGGTCACATGCTACAACATGGATGAACCTTGAAAACATGTGCTAGGTGAGATAAGCCAGACACAAAAGGCCAAATGTTGTACAATTCCACTTAATAGAGGTACCTAAAATAGGCAAATTCTTAAAGCCAAAAAGTATATTAAAGGTTACCAAATGCTGGGGATATGAGGAGGAGGGGGGAGTTATTGTTTAATGGGAACAGAGTCTCCATTTGGGATGGAAAAAATTTCTGCACATGCATGGTGGTAATTGTACAATGTTGTGATTTACTCAGTGCTGCTGAATTGTATGCTTAAAAATGGTGAAAAGGGTGAATTTTATATATTCTACCTCAGTAAAGAAAAGAAAGGAAAAAAGCAAACAAATCTCAGTGGAGGAGTGACAACATATAGTCAAGAGAGCATGTGAAATGGGGTATATATCTACACAGGTGTGGGCATAGAGGAGGACATCTTTGTAAAATAAAATATGTTACTTCCAATTTAAAACAAAACTGATGTTGCTCTGGACCATCCCAGTTTAATTTAGCCAGAATCTCTATGATTGGATCCAAGAATTATTTTTTTAAATCTCCTCAACTGATTCTAACATACAGGCAGGGTTGAGAACCACTGATCTATATATCTGTTACTCTGTTTATTTCCTCTTTTATCCAAGCCTAAAATCGTGCTACTGTGAATTAAGGCTAGGGCCTGCATTATTTGCTTTTGGTCAATAACGTCACAAAAGGAGCAGCACCACCCACCCCCAAGGCCATAGAGTGAGGCCAACAGGGACACCAATGGTTGTTCCTGTGGAGAAAGGAGACGGGTCTGAGATCAACTTCAAGGTCTGTCCACTCTCCCCTGACCAATCTTGGAAGCTGAGAATTTGCCTGGTCAAGAGTTTCAGGTTTCTTTAGAACCTGTCACAGTTTTATGTAATCCCTGGATTTCTTACGTAGGGTTTGGGAACCAAAAAGATGTGGGTTTGAATCCTAGACCTGCCATTTATTTGACGTGGGGAAAACATACAAAGCTTCCAATTTGCAGTTTCTTCCTCTGTGAAGTGGGGGCACCACTGTCCTCTCTGGAGGCTCAGCAAGGTTAACAGATTTGTGCACAGCCTGTTGGTAAGTGGGACTGTAGGATTTGAACTCAGTCAAAGCTTCCTGCATACTCAACCTCAAGAGATCATTGGACAGGCGCCTGGGTGGCCCAGTCGTTAGGCATCTGCCTTTGGCTCAGGTCATGATCCCAGGATCCTGGGATCAAGTTCCACATCCGGCCCCCTGCTCTGCAGGAGGCCTGCTTCTCCTTCTCCCACTCCCCCTGCTTGTGTTCCCTCTCTCACTGTGTCTCTCTCTGTCAAATAAATAAATAAAATCTGAAAAAAAAAGAGAGAGAGATCATTGGAACCCAAGTCTGGGGTGCTTCTTTCTACCCTGTCAGCACTTAAGTGTCAGATGGTTTTGGACAGGAAAGGATGTGAGAACACACTAGGAGCTTAGAGATTAATTAGAAGAGGCTTCATTGAGTTGGAGTGACTGAAGAGAGGTGTGAAGAAGGCTCGTAGTACAGAGTTGTATCCACCCCCTTAGTACCCACACTGCTCCCTGAAGGGATTTGGGGGGCCTGGAAGTGGGCAGGTGAGGATCACCACTTACTTCATAGCCCATGAAGAGGCCAATGGGCTTGGTGGGCTTCATCCTGATGCCAATGTTGCCTTCAGTGTTGAACGGCAGGCTGTTGCCCTTGTCGTCAATGATCTGGAGCAACAGGCCTGTGGATCCCAACCTGCAGGGCCACCCCAACACGCCGGCCCCACCCACACAGTACCTGACTATTTGTGTGACACTGGTGAGAATAAATGGGGGGAGGAGCCCTGTCAAAAAATAGATTACAGCTGTCAGAAGACTTTGAAGTCAGGAAATGGTGAAACCCAAGTTATGGGTCTCCTGGTCTCACGGATATGCAGACGTGGCAAACGTGTCTTCAAGCTAGAAAACACAGATCAGGGAAAACTAGAAGCACCAGCTGATGGAGAGAGCTGCCAGGGCTCCCTCCAGGTGCTCTGGTCCCATCTGTTGTGTATGAGGCTTCCGGCTGCCAGGCTGAGCAGCATTCATGCCCAGGATACTGCAGTTCTCAACTGAAGCCTCCCCAGGAAATCGGCGGGAAAACAGGAGGAGAGGAAGAAGGACAACAACTGGGGTGGGGGTGGGGTGGAGTGGGCACAGCTGGTTCTGTCACCTGGTGTCCCACAATTGTTCAATCCCAGCTCAGCCCTAACTGCACCCAGCAAATGCCTTTAGGACCAGACCTGGACGTCGAAGGAGGGGATGCCTTTCCCGATGGAACCCGGCTTGATCTTCATTCCACGGAGAGTGACACAACTTACTCCCTATTCATAAAAGAAAGAAAATGGGGTTGGCCAAAGAGTCCAGGCTGATTACAAAGCATTAAGAACCACACACAGCATCCTCACTCATCCATGTCATTCGATGCTATGCAAAGAACCCTTATGGGGAAGCTAGAAGGCCCAGATTCTAGGTGCAAGGCATGGACCCAATTCTGGTCAGCAGATATTCACCACACCTGACATAGACTGGGCCTGTGCGAGCTCCTGGGGCTACCGGGTCCACTGCGAGGGGCCAAAAAAGAAGCAAAGGGGTGAGCCCGGGGCTGTGGGCATGTAACGTGAGGTGTGGAGTACGCACTGTATGTCAGACATGTGTCCGTTTGCTAGAGGAAGGCCATGATATCATTTAACATTGACTCAGGCTGTTAAACAGTGATAGGAACCCTGTCTCAACGACTCAGAGCTGTGCTGAGAATATTCAGATTGTGTTGTCCCCTCTGCTAGGCAACTGCCCCACCCCCATTTATCCTCCTGATGAACTTTATTCCTCCTTTATGGTACTCTAAAATATCTTTCTAAAGCTAAGCTAGACCAGGATTTGAATCTTTTTTTTTTCTTTTTAAGATTTTGTGTGTTTATTTGAGAGAGAGAAAAACGAGAGACAGAGTAGGGGTGGAGGGGGACGGGCAGGGGGAGAGGGAGAAGCAGGCTCCCCAGCTGAGCAGGGAGCCCAATGTGGGGCTCAATCCCAGGACCCTGGGACCACTACCCAAGCCAAAGGCAAATGCTTAACCGACTGAGCCACCCAAGGATTTGAATCTTGACTCCAGCTATGTGCCAATTAATCCCCCTTCATCTTCTCTGTAAAGGGGTAATTATAACACTTAGCTCTCATAGTACCTGTGAGTGTGTGGAAAACTCTTCACACAGTGCCTGGCACACCAAGTTAGCTCCATAAACAGTCACAACTAGCTATTATTCTGGCCCCAAGAAAAGTCAGTTGGGACATTCTCCTTCTGTAGTATTTTTTCCCACACTTCCATTGTAGCCAAGAGAGCATTATACTTCTTTTTAAAAAAATATTTATCCATTTATTTTAGAGAGATAGAAAGAGTGCAAGAGTGCTTGAATGGGGTTTGGGGAGCAGAGGGAGAGAGAGTCTTAAGCAGACTCCCCGCTGAGCATGGAGCCCTATGCAGGGGCTCAATCCCACGACCCATGAGATCACCACCTAAGCTGAAACCAGGAGTCGGAAACTCAACCCACTGAGCCAACCGAGAGCTCCCAATTATCCTTATTTTTGCTTGTCTGTTTCCCTCAGTGAATAACAAGCATCCTGAGAATAGAGACTGCCCCATTCATCTCTACTACCCTAGTATCTAGGGCAACACTTACTTAAAAACAAGAGTAACAGCAAGGTGAGCATGTACAAGAGGTTGGACATTGTAGCCAGAGCTTTATATACTTCCTTTCGTTTCCCTTATCACAACCCAGCGAGACTGGGTTATATTTCCATTTTGGAGACAGAGAAGCAGAGACTCTGGAAGGTTCAGTGCTATGCCAGTGGTCTTGAAGCCTGTAATTGGCAAGCTGAGATTTGAACCGGGGTCTGAGTTCCTGAGAGGGAAAGCTCTTCCTCCTTTGCTATGTTGCTGCTCACAGTACAGGCATGTGGAAAATGTCCCAGAGATGAGTCAGTGGCTATGCAAATACTTTGTGAAATACAGCACCACCTGGGTATGAGGCAGTATTCTGTTGTTGCAAAGAGTTGATACAAAGGAACCTGGATCATGGGTATATTGTAGTTCTCATCCCACCCTCCTCCTTGTCCAAATATAAACTATGAACCATACAAGAACTAACCTAGAGTCTTAATATTTCTTAGGCCTGGAAGCGGACCAATTAACTGATGATTTAAAAGCATATTTTTTTTTGCAAAAAAGTCAAGACGAGTATGTGAATTGAGGCTAAAATAGTCATTTTGCTCCAGCTCCTGAGATGGTAGTCGTCTGTCTGTCAGTTACAGGGATAACAAGGAGGCTGGGGAAAGTGGCCCAGCAACAGAAATGACTTGAGAATTGTGTTGGAAGATACCTGCCCCTGCCCCTACTATCATTAATAACGTTTTTCTGGTTTAAGACATGCCTGATACTCTGAATGTCCTGTCACCTGGCTAGTCAGTGATGCCTTTGGGAGTCACACTGTGTGTGTGTGTATGTGTGTGTGTCTGTGTGTGTGTGTTGGTATATACAGAAAGTCTCTGTTCCCTCCCCCACTCTAGCTAGTGTCCCACAATCAAACCTGTGTGCTGTCCACATGAGCATCCAGAAATGAACTTCTGGGGCCAGCTCCTGGCTGCCTGTGGTTGCCACCCTAGGAAGGAATGAAGTAGGCAGGACTTGCTGATGGTGGGCTCCATGTTACTGGAGAGAACCTCCCATCCCGCCACCCCTCCTGGGCTCCCTAGAGCTAATGATCCCAGGGATGGTAGCACCATGTCCTTACACCCCTTTTCAAAGTTTTGTCCAATAGTTTTCAGGACATTGGCCTCTTGACAAACTGATGAGCTGTGAATTGTCTTTGTGCAAATTGATTTGGGGCAAATTAGCCTAGAACTCTGAAGCCTCCCATTGGCTTCAGGCAATGTGTGAGCAGAGTGGGGCCTCTGCATATACATGGTTCAGCTCGTCTGCTGGGCTCAGTGGCTCAGCACATCCTGACTGATCAAGAAAGTACCATCTACCTACTGTTTCTACCTACTGTTTCTGACTGTCCGTAGACCTCGTAGAGCAGAAGACCTGTCCGTTTTCTCCACTGCTCTTGATCCTCTGGCAGCAGAGAGTGCTCCAGGGTAGGGAACCTGAGACTTAGGGGAAGGCAAAGTGACAAGAGAACTTGCAGTCAGGCCTTGGATGTTCTGCCCCAGGCCCAGAGTGTTAAGAGCTCAGAGCCTCGTCATCTGGATCATTCATGCTTCTGCTTCCTCATGTTCTTAGTTGCCTTTGGGGCAATTTGCTGGTGGTCAAAGCCAACTGGAAGTCACTCACTTCCTGTCAGTTCATGTTAACTCTTCTGGCAAGGGGTGGGTGGTGGCGGTGAGGCTAATGGGTTTGGATCAAAGGTTTGGATCAACTTTGGAAGCTGACATAAAAAGATGGCAAAGATGTATTTATCAGACCTTGTCTTCACACTCTCTGTGGCTATGAGGGGTATTTTATAAACTGTAAGGTGGTAGGGGATAAGATCCCAAGAGCATGTTAGGATGCTAACAGAACTGCATTGCCTTCTCTGAAGGGTAGGGTCATGTGAATTGAAGGGCTTTTGTATTTCTGAGCAGAGAATGCAAGTTAGAGGGTAGAAATGAATTGCCCAGGACATCAAGGAAGACTGGGATGTGTGTAGGAAAGGAGAGAAGGGTTATGGTAGCAGCCCTGAGAGAAAGAATTTCAGAGAGCCAAAAAGTTGGCTGTGAACATCTGTAGTAGGTACATTGCATGATGTAAATCCTCTTCTTCATTTTTCCCCATAACATTTTCTGCTAATAAAAAAACAACCACAAAATAATGATGGATTCCCTGAAGGACGTGGGGAGAAGTGATTGAGGTCTGAGTACCAGGTGGCCTGGGGCTGAGCCGGGTCAGCTCTTGGGGATGAGAGAGGTAGCAGACATCTGGTTCACCTTCTCATCCTCATCACCCTGTCCTGGTACATCAGAGTCAGAGTCAGGGACAGGAGGGCTGAGGGTGTCTTCTTCATTCTTCTGCAGCTTTATCCAAAGTAGGTAAAATGGGCAGATTCTCTGATGCAGTCATTAGCTATGCTTTGGTTGTATTTTTACTGGGTTTGGACAAAGATCATTGACTGAGGAATGTTCAAAAAGTAGCTTAATATGAGCTTTGAAATACAGATGGAAACAGGATCCAAACAGCTTGAGGCTTCATGAATAAAATCAAAACTGTGTTTCAGAGTTAGCTTCATAAGGGTAGCCACAGAACACCTTAATATTTTAATTCTATATTTACGACATGTTACTCTGATTTTTGAAGTAGCCGTTTTAATCTCAGACTCTTTAAAAGATACATAAATGCCCATAAGTTTCAAAGAGCAGATTTCAGGTTAGCTGAAATTAACCTGCAAACATGGGGAAATGCAAAAATAAAACTCTACAGTAAGATAACACTATATATCCATCAGATTGACAAAAATTAAAAACTCTGACAATAACAAATATTGCCAACGTTAGGGAACAATGGGAATTCTCCTCTCCTGCTAATGGGAGCATTTCAATACTTTGGAAAATCGCATGGTAAAATGTCATGTCAGTGTGAACTAGCAATTCGTCTTCCAGAAAAATGCTACAGAAATGCATGCTTATATGCACCAGCGTACATGTACAAGAATTCAATGCAGCATTAATCACTAATAGCCCCAAAATGAAAACTACCCAGTGTCCATTAATGGTAGAACAGATAAAAAACACATCATGTTTTTATACAATGGGATATTATACAGCAATGAAACTTAACTACAGCAACATGCAGCAACATAGACACATCTTAAAAACATAATACTGAAAAAAGAAGCCAAAGATTACAGAGTAATATATGATTACACACATAAAGATCAAAAGCAAGTAAAATATGATAATTTGTTTAGGGGTATTTCCTTAGGAGGTAAACTATAAGGGAAAACAAGGAAAGGAATACCATAAAAGTCAAGACAGTAAATGCCTTTAGGGAAGAAAGAGAGCCATGCTAAGGAGCATCCTACTGAAGAATGAATGGGTCAACCAGGAAATTAAAGAAGAATTAAAAAAATACATGGAAACCAATGAAAATGAAAACACAACTGTTCAAAATCTTTGGGATGCAGCAAAGGCAGTCCTAAGAGGAAAGTATAGAGCAATACAAGCCTTTCTCAAGAAACAAGAAAGGTCTCAAGTACACAACCTAACCCTCCACCTAAAGGAGCTGGAGAAAGAACAGCAAATAAAGCCTAAACCCAGCAGGAGAAGAGAAATCATAAAGATCAGAGCAGAAATCAATGAAATAGAAACTAAAAGAACAGTAGAACAGATCAACGAAACTAGGAGCTGGTTCTTTGAAAGAATTAACAAGATTGATAAACCCCTGGCCAGACTTATCCAAAAGAGAAGAGAAATGACCCAAATCAACAAAATCATGAATGAAAGAGGAGAGATCACAACCAACACCAAAGAAATACAAACAATTATAAGAACATATTATGAGCAACTCTATGCCAGCAAATTAGACAACCTGGAAGAGATGGATGCATTCCTAGAGATGTATCAACTACCAAAACTGAACCAGGATGAAATAGAAAACCTGAACAGACCTATAACCACTAAGGAAATTGAAGCAGTCATCAAAAATCTCCCAAAAAACAAAAGCCCAGGGCCAGATGGCTTCCCAGGGGAATTCTACCAAACATTTCAAGAAGAATTAATACCTATTCTTCTGAAACTGTTCCAAAAAATAGAAACGGAAGGAAAACTTCCAAGCTCATTTTATGAGGCCAGCATTACCTTGATCCCAAAACCAGACAAAGACCCCATCCAAAAGGAGAATTACAGACCAATATCCCTGATGAACATGGATGCAAAAATTCTCACCAAAATACTAGCCAATAGGATCCAACAGTATATTAAAAGGATTATTCACCATGACCAAGTGGGATTTATCCCTGGGCTGCAAGGTTGGTTCAACATCCGCAAATCAATCAATGGGATACGATACATTAACAAAAGAAAGAACAAGAATCATATGATCCTCTCAATAGATGCAGAAAAACCTTTTGACAAAGTACAGCATCCTTTCTTGATCAAAACTCTTCAGAGTATAGGCATAGAGGGTACATACCTCAATATCATAAAAGCCATCTATGAAAAACCTACAGCGAATATCATACTCAATGGGGAAAAACTGAGAGCTTTCCCCCTAAGGTCAGGAACGCGGCAGGGATGTCCACTATCACCACTGCTCTTCAACATAGTATTGGAAGTCCTAGCCACAGCAATCAGACAACAAAAAGAAATCAAAGGCATCCAAATCAGCAAAGAAGAAGTCAAACTCTCACTCTTTGCAGATGATATGATACTTTATGTGGAAAACCCAAAAGACTCCACCCTGAAACTGCTAGAACTCATACAGGAATTCAGTAAAGTGGCAGGATATAAAATCAATGCACAGAAGTCAGTGGCATTCCTATATACCAACAACAACACAGAAGAAAGAGAAATTAAGGAGTCGATCCCATTTACAATTGCACCCAAAACCATAAGATACCTAGGAATAAATCTAACCAAAGAGACAAAGGATCTGTACTCAGAAAACTATAAAATACTCATGAAAGAAATTGAGGAAGACACAAAGAAATGGAAAAACGTTCCATGCTTATGCATTGGAAGAACAAATATTGTGAAGATGTCAATGCTACCTAGAGCAATCTACACATTCAATGCAATCCCCATCAAAATACCATCCACTTTTTTCAAAGAAATGGAACAAATCATCCTAAAATTTGTATGGAACCAGAAAAGACTCCACATAGCCAGAGGAATGTTGAAAAAGAAAAGCAAAGCCGGCGGCATCACAATTCCGGACTTCCAGCTCTATTACAAAGCTGTCATCATCAAGACAGCATGGTACTGGCACAAAAACAGACACATAGATCAATGGAACAGAATAGAGAGCCCAGAAATGGACCCTCAACTCTATGGTCAACTCATCTTTGACAAAGCAGGAAAGAATGGTCCAATGGAACAAAGACAGTCTCTTCAACAAATGGTGTTGGGAAAATTGGATAGCCCCACATGCAGAAGAATGAAACTGGACCATTTCCTTACACCACACACAAAAATAGACTCCAAATGGTTGAAAGACCTCAATGTGAGACAGGAGTCCATCAAAATCCTAAAGGAGAACACAGGCAGCAACCTCTTTGACCTCAGCCGAAGCAACTTCTTCCTAGAAACATCGCCAAAGGCAAGGGAAGCAAGGGCAAAAATGAACTATTGGGAATTCATCAAGATAAAAAGCTTTTGCAAAGCAAAGGAAACAGTCAACAAAACAAAAGACAACCGACAGAATGGGAGAAGATATTTGCAAATGACATATCAGATAAAGGGCTAGTATCCAAAATCTATAAAGAACTCATCAAACTCAACACCCAAAGAACAAAGAATCCAATCAAGAAATGGGCAGAAGACATGAACAGACATTTTTCCAAAGAAGACATCCAAATGGCCAACAGACACATGAAAAAGTGCTCAATATCGCTCGGCATCAGGGAAATCCAAATCAAAACCTCAATGAGATACCACCTCACACCAGTCAGAATGGCTAAAATTAACAAGTCAGGAAACGACAGATGTTGGTGGGGATGCGGAGAAGGGGGCACCCTCCTACACTGTTGGTGGGAATGCAAGCTGGTGCAGCCACTCTGGAAAACAGTATGGAGGTTCCTCAAAAAGTTGAAAATAGAGCTACCCTATGATCCAGCAATTGCACTACTGGGTATTTACCCCAAAGATACAAAAGTAGGGATCCGAAGGGCTACGTGCACCCTGATGTTTATAGCAGCAATGTCCACAATAGCCAAACTGTGGAAAGAGCCAAGATGTCCATCGACAGATGACTGGATAAAGAAGATGTGGTATATATATACAATGGAATATTATGCAGCCATCAAAAGGAATGAGATCTTGCCATTTGCAACGACGTGGATGGAACTGGAGGGTGTTATGCTGAGCGAAATAAGTCAATCAGAGAAAGACATGTATCATATGACCTCACTGATATGAGGAATTCTTAATCTCAGGAAACAAACTGAGGGTTGCTGGAGTGGGGGGTGGGGTGGGAGGGATGGGGTGACTGGGTGATAGACACTGGGGAGGGTATGTGCTCTGGTAAGCGCAGTGAATTGTGCAAGACTGTTGAATCTCAGATCTGTACCTCTGAAACAAATAATGCAATGTATGTTAAGAAAAAAAAAAGAAGAAGATAGCAGGAAGGGAAGAATGAAGGGGGAAATCGGAGGGGGAGACGAACCATGAGAGACGATGGACTCTGAAAAACAAACAGGGTTCTAGAGGGGAGGCAGGTGGGAGGATGGGTTAGCCTGGTGGTGGGTATTGAGGAGGGCACATTCTGCATGGAGCACTGGGTGTTATGCACAAACAATGAATCATGGAACACTTCATCTAGAACTAATGATGTAATGTATGGGGATTAACATAAGAATAAAAAAAATATACATATAAAAAAGAGATTTCCATTTTTTCTATAAAGGGAAGCCTCCTTTTAATTACTTTTAAATATAAATATTATTTATTCAACCTTTCTAATAATAAAACTCTATGTTATATATAGAAAGCTTTGAAAAACTAAGAAAAAGGCCAAAGAAAATTCTTTTCACTCATAATCCCACCATTACTACTCACTTTAACGTTTGGATATATGTCCTTCTCTTATTTCTCTATGTACATATATTATTTTATAAAATTGGAATTACATTCTACCTACTGGCTATCAATCTTGCTTTTTTACTTATGATTTTCACATAGAGGTAAATCTTTTTATGTAACAGAAAAAAATTTTTTAAAGATTTTATTTATTTATTTCACAGAGAGAGACACAGCAAGAGAGGGAACACAAGCAGGGGGAGCGGGAGAGGGAGAAGCAGGCTTCTCACTGAGCAGGGAGCCCGATGTGGGGCTCGATCCCACGACCCTGGGATCATGACCTGAGCGGAAGGCAGACGCTTAACAACTGAGCCACCCAGGCGCCCCTATATAACAGAAAATTTTTTTAATTTCACAGCATGCTACCAAAAGGAAATATCATGATTTATTGAACATATCCACTATTATTGGAAATTTTCTTCATTTCCAATGTTTCATATTAAACATACTTTTTCAGTGAGTAACCTTGTTAACTCTTTAAATGCCATTTTAATTATTTCCTATGAAAAATTATCAAAAGCCAAATTTCTGAGTTAAAGGCTGGGTAATTTTTTTCCTACTCCCTGCTGAGCAGGGAGCCTGAGGCAGGGCTTGATCCCAGGACCCTGGGATCATGACCTGAGCTGCAACCGCTTAACTGACTGAGCCACCCAGGTGCCCCTAATGATTCAACACTTTGATACAACGCTTGGCGCTCATCACAGGTGTATTCGTTAATCCCCATCACATATTTCACTCATCCCCTCCCCTTGGGTAATCATTTGTTTGTTCTCTATAATTAAGATTCTGTTTCTTGTTTTTTAAAAGTTCTAATATTACAAAATTTCTTGAAGGGATAGTGCTTAATATTTTCAAACTTTGACAAGATAACTCAGACACACTGATACCAAAAAAATCTCTTTCTGCCCCATAATATAGAGATTCCAAATAAGAGATTCCAGCATCTCATACACCTATTTGGATTATTATGCTACTTGAGAAGGAGTTGCTTACACAGTTTTACCAAAATTCATTAGAACTTTAATAAGCAGATTTTTTTTTAGATACAAGAACCTAGACTAACTGGTCTTGTGGTTTCCATAGCAGGCAAGTCAAGTGCTGTTAGATCTGTGGATGTTTGGGGCACTGGGTGGCTCAGTCGGGTGGACGTCTCCCTTCAGCTCAGGTCATGATCCCAGGGTCCTGAGATCAAGCCCCATGCCGGGCTCTCTGCTCAGTGGGGAGTCGGCTTCTCCAACTCCCTCTGTGCTCTCTCCCTGTGTTCTTTCTCTTTCTCTCTCTCTCTCAAATAAGTAAAATCTTTTTTTTTAAGATTTTATTTATTTATTTGACAGAAAGAGAGAGCACACAAGCAGGAGGAGTGGGAGAGGGAGAAGCAGGCATCCCGTGGAGCAGGGAGCCCGATGTGGGGCTGATCCCAGGACCCTGGGATCATGACCTGAGCCGAAGGCAGACGCCTAATGACTGAGCCACCCAGGTGCCCTTAAAATCTTTTTAAAAAAAGAATCTGTGGATACGCTACAGAATGATCAAGCAAAATGAGGTTGTCTGTGCTAAGGGGTATTTGTACTAATCACTGTGTTGTGTTTCTGGTGTAAGAACATAAATCCAAAGTCACCTTCTGATAGAAAGCCATGGACAGTGTGGAAATTAAAGGCACAATTTAAGAGCAGTGATTGTGTTTGATGGATGATGAGCCTAAGAAAATAGAAGCCAGCGTCCCTTGCACACACGGCCACTGGCCCTATGCTAAATGCTATGCTTGCACTGCATCATTTCAGCCTCAGGAAAAAACCTCTGGGTAAAGTACCATCCTTATTCCTGTTTCCAGATGGGAAGAAAAAAAAAAAAAAGACCTGGTGCTAACAGAAGTCACCAACAAAGATCTATGTGCGTTTTCTCTCTGGGAAGCACCTGGAGAGTGCAGATTTTGTGTTATTTCTCTCTATCTCCCTTCAGGGCTAGCACAGTGCTCAGCTCATGCCATTAAATGATTGTGGAAGTTATGTAAATTTAGGTTTCTGAATTTGTTCTTCTCTCAGGTGAGCTGGGAGGAATATGCTTCAGCGAGAGTCCACATGGCTTACCTCACAGGGGACAGAGGGATCATGGATGAAGATGGTTCCTTCTGGTGGACTGGTAGAGCTGATGATGTCCCAGGTGTGTTGGGGTCAGAGGCGGTAAATGCTTGTGGTTACTGCTATTGAGCGTGGGGCTGTGGTGGTCTGGGGAGGGCTCTGGACCACCTCAGATACATAAGCATTACAGAAAGTTTAGAAAATGCAAATAAACAAAAATAAAAAAATAAGAGTCATTCACCATCTCATATTTTGGTGTATATTCTTCTAGTCTTCTTTCTTCGTATATAGAAACACTTTTTTAGTAGAAGTGAGTTCAAGGAGAAATGTTCTAGCATAACTTGTCTTTTTCATTCAGCAATATAAGAGAAATGTTTTTCTGTGCAATAATGCATATTTACATAATACCATTTTAAAATTTTTAATTAAGTAAAACATATATTCAGTAAGTACACAAATCTTACATGAACAGCCCAATGAATGTTTACATATTTATGCACCTGTAATCACATTTAGATTAGGACATAAGATATTCCCAGCACCCTAATAGGCTCCCTCATGTCCTCACGCCTCTGTGAAAACTGAACTCCTCCTTTTATGAACTTAGAAGTAAATTTCTGTACCTAAAAGCAGTTTCAGGAATTGGGAAAAGTCCATTAAATCCTAAGAGCAATAAATTCTGAGTGGCAGGGCGCCTGGGTGGCTGAGTTGGTTAAGCGACTGCCTTCAGCTCAGGTCATGATCCTGGAGTCCCTGGATCGAGTCCCGCATCGGGCTCCCTGCTCGGCAGGGAGTCTACTTCTCCCTCTGACCCTCCCCCCTCTCATGTGTTCTCTCTCATTCTCTCTCTCTCAAATAAATAAATAAAATCTTAAAAAAAAAAAATTCTGAGTGGCAGATGCCTGCAAGCAGATTCCATGGGCCATCCCAATTCAGACCTGGCCAACCACAAAAGTCACAGGAATGTTAAATATGACAAGCAATTTGAACATCCCACTCTCTAAATCGCAAACCTGCTTTCCCAGTGTTTTGACACAACTTAAAAAACTCAACTAAAGTTTGCTCAGGAAGTCTCTCCTCTGAGCACTCCCTACTGGAGTTAATTCTGAATGAACCACTTCCTTTCTTTACCTCTAACTGGTCTCAAGGTTTACCTTTAGCCTCTCTTTCCATCAGTAACTATTATTCTGACTTCTAAAACCATAGATTAATTTTGCCTGCTCCCTTATACAAATGGAATCATCCCGTCTGTACTCTTTTGTGTCTGACTTCTTTCTCTCAAAATAATGCCTGTGAGATTTATCCATGTCATTGTATCTGTATCAATAGTTCATTCTTCTTCATTGCTATGTAGAATCCCATTGTATGAATAACACCTAAAATTTACTTATCCACTCTACTTTTGGTGAGAGAATGGGATTGATTCCAATCTGGGATAACATGAATAAAGGTGCTTTGAATATTATTCTACATGTCTGTTGCTGAATATATGCAAAGATTGATGATTGATATAGATCTAGGAGGGGAGATGTGAATCATAAGGTATGCATATTTTAAGTTTGATTAAGATATTACCACAGTTTTCTAATTCCCAATTTATACTCCTACCACAGTGGAGGCTGAATAAAAGTTCCATTTGCATAATTATGCTAAGCGAAATAAGTCAGTCAGAGAAAGACAAATATCAGATGATTTCAATCATATGCGGAATTTGAGAAACAAAACAAATGAGCATAAGGAAAAAGAGAGAGAGAGGCAAACCAAGAAAGAGACTTATAACTATAGAGAACACACTGATGGTTGCCAGAGGGGAGGTGGGTGGGGAGATGGGTGAAACAGGTGGTGGGGATTAAGAAGCACATTTGTTGTGATGGGCACTGGATGTTGTTTGGTTTGCTGAATCACTAAACCCTACACCTGAAATGAATATTATACTGTATGTTAACTGGAATTTAAAGAGAAACCTTTTTTAAAAAAGTTCTATTTGCTCCATACCCTCAACAACACTTGTTACTATGAATCTTTTAAACTTTAGTCATCCAGGTAAGTCTGCAGTATTATTTCATAATAGTTTTCATATAATTTTAAGGGACATGTAGTAGTTCATTCTGTCAAGATGATAAAGTTTTTTACTTTACTAATCCCTTATTGTTGGAGGTTTGGTTTTTAGTTTTTTTTCAATTTTTTACTTTATAAAACGCTTGGATGATCATCCTTTAACATAACATTTTTGTATGTCAGTATCAGAAATAAAAAAGGAGTTATCGCTACAGATCTTACACATATTAAAAAGACAGAGGTGCCTGGGTGGCTCAGTTGATTAAGTGTTGGCCTTAGCCAGTTTTGGCTTAGGTCATGATCTCAGGGTCATGGGATTGAGCCCCATGTTGGGCTCTGCACTCAGTGGGGAACCTGCTTGAGATTCTCGCTCTCCCTCACCCTCTACCCCTCTACCAGTCTCTCACATTCTCTCTCTAAAATAGATAAATAAATCTTTAAAAAAAAAGATAACAAGAAAATACTATGAACAGTTTTAGGTCAACAAATTCAACAATGTAGATGAAATGGAAAGATGCCTCAAAAAATAGAACATACCACACAAAATAAAACAAAAATCTGAATGATCCGGTATCTATTTTAATAACTGAAATAATTATTAACAACCTTACCAGAAAGAAAGCCCCAGACCCAGGTGGTTTTACTGGTAAATCCTATCAAACATTTATGGAAGAAATAACATGAAACTTACAAAAACCCTTACAGACAGTAAAGGAGCAAGTAACATTGGATATTATCAGGTTTTAAGTCTTGGCCAATGTGAAAAGTGAATAATCTCAAAAAAAAAAAAAAGTGAGTAATCTTACTTGTCTTTTGATTACTAGTAAGATTGAAGTTTTTCTGCTGTTTACTGTCCTTTTTCGATTTTAAAATCTGAATGTTTATCTTTTTCTGACTCATTTTTTAAAGATTAATTTATTTATTACAGAGAGAGAGTGCATGAGATCGAGGCGGGGGAGGGGAGGACGTGGGGAAGGCAGAGGAAGAGACAGAATCTCAAGCAGACTCCCTGCTGCATGTGGAGCCTGACACTGACGCAGGGCTCAATCCAACAACTATGAGGTCGTGACCTGAGCCAAAATTAAATCAAGAGTTAGACACCTAGCTGACTGAGACTGCGCATAGGGTGGTGTGCTGATGATGAAACGAAAAGTCCTCAATTTGCAGTCCTTCCACCTACATGCTATGGCCTATAATACCTGCTTGCCATTAGAGCACTTTTGAGTTAAGGTATTATCTCAAAGATCAAAACTGTGGGAGGAATGGATCACGGATCCAGTCCTTCCTCTATACTGGAAATCACTTACTAGATTTTCAGTAGCGCCCTGAGGCACAAGGAGACAGGATAGTTTGGTTTTGACGGAAAAACAAGATAGGTCATGAAAAACCAGAATATAAAAACCATAAAACTCCACAGTACAGGGACGCCTGGGTGGCTCACTCGTTAAGTGTCTGCCTTCGGCTCAGGTCATGATCCCAGGGTCCTGGGATCGAGCCCCTACGTCGGGCTCCCTGCTCGGCGGGAAGCCTGCTTCTCCCTCTCCCACTCTCCCTGCTTGTGTTCCCTCTCTTGCTGTGGGTCTCTCTGTCAAATAAATAAATAAAATCTTTAAAGAAAAAAGAAACTAATGATGTACTGTATGGTGAGTAACATAATAAAATTTAAAAATTTAAAAAATGGCGATGTCCAAAATTCATCAGATGCCATATTTTTGCCTGCAGATCTAGCTATTATTAAGGTCCCAGGGATATTCTGCACTTGACTCCCTGGGGGCCAGAGGAAACAGCCTTGCTGACATTTCTGCCAAAAAATCTGCTCAAAAGGAGCTTGAGAGTCAGGCCTCTGTCATGTTCTGAAGGGATGTCCTACCAATTGACAGTTTGGAAAAATTGATCAGATATGCCCAACAACTGGGCCCAGAGAAGGAGAAACAATGTTGGGAATCTAATGACTGATAAAAAGAGAGAATTCTGCCTTGGATCAAGTAACAATCTGGCCCTCCCCAAAATTCTAAAATTCCCATGCCTGACAATAGTACAAACCTTAAACCATTGGTCTAATAACAAACTGATAGTGTTCATGAACCAATATTGGTGGGGAAATATTAAGAAGGCTGCAAAAAAGTGCCTACCTTGCTCCTCCCATTGGTCCAAAATACAATCCTGGGAAAGAAATCCATACCTCCCGTGGGCATTTAAACTGCCCAATGAACCCTTTGAGATTTGGCAAGTGGATTTCATGCCACTTCCTCATCTCATGGAAATAAGTGTTAGTCAATGTGCCTATGTTTCCTCACTGGACCAAAGCTTTCCCTTGGAGAAAGGCCAATGACTCGTGTGTGGCTGAAATCCTGTTAGAAAAAATTATCCCTCCCAGGGAAGCCCTCTTGAACTACACAGTGACCAGAAAACCCATTCTACCGTGCAGGGCCCTCACCCCGTTTGTGATGTTTGGCCAGTTTTACAACACTTTCATTGTACATTACTAACCCCTATCTTCACAGATGGTCCAATGCAATAATGGCAATACTGGGGACTCAATGAGCAAAATGTGCAAATTTTCCAACTACCTGGGACAAAGGCATTGCTGTTACTCCTTCGAAATCTCAAGTCCACACCCTTTGGAACTCAGACTCTCACCCTTGGAGACAGTCACTGGACATCCATGCATTCGACCACTGCCCCTTTTGACCCACAGGTGGGAAAAGGGGATATATTTCAATAATGCAAACATCTAGTTGCTTCTATTAAAACTAACCATGTTGTAGCAGAGCAATCTTTTCACAGGCCACTCCCAGCGGACACTTACCTTGATCATCACACCTTGCAACCTGGAGAGTCTCTCCATTGGAAAAGACACCTCCACAGAGATTCTCTTCAACCTCCCTTGAGAGGCCCTTATCACATACTGCTAACCAAACCTTGTGCTGCCAAATCCCAGGGAATGGACTCTTGGGTCCACGGGACACATTTAAAGAAGGCACCAAACCCTGACTGGACCTGTACACCAGCTGGTGACAAGAAGGTAAATACTTCCCAAATTGCAATAGAAAACATCTGGGGAGACAGCTTGCCCCACATGTCCAGACCAGGCCTGCATTCCTTTTCTCACTGTTGCTCCTTCTACCTCTTTTGTGCAAAGAACATGCCATTTTCTGCATATCCCAGTCTCTTGCAAAAGGAGGAAACCTCTTTGGATTATGATCTTCCCTAAAATCGCCTCCTTTTGATCTTGTGAGCATTTCTAGAGGTTTAGAAGGTTCAGAATTCAAAAGTCTTTCTTTTACCTCAACTACTAACTGAATCCTGATTCTAATCCAAATGCATGGTTTCTGAATTTACAACATAACAGACCACTACTGATAACCCATATAGTTCTAAACAGTTCTTTTGAAAGAACAATACTGTTTTGAAATGTCCCAGAAGTATTCCTATTCTTGCAACAAGTTCTCTAACTATTGCTTCATGTTCTTCAGTGTACTCTATGTTCCCTAATGTGCTCAGTGATTTCATTCAGTGCATTCCTGCAGTATTTGTCTGTTTTGTTTCTAGCCACTGGGGGAGGACACTTCCAGGAGGCATACAGGACTCCGGGTTTGCCTTCAGTCCAAACAAGTGCCAATAAATATTTTCAGTTGGCTCCTTTCAGACCTAGGGTCCTGGATTAAAACCAGCATATGGTTTGGAATTGTCATCTTGTTTTTGATTCTGTACTTGCTGTCTCTCAGTCCTTTGTAGAAACACTGTCTCCAATGAAGTGATGCTGGCTCACTGGTCTCAGTCTTGAGCAGATACAGACTTCACATGGGAAGTTCGTGAGTTTCTCCCATCTAACCCTCCCTGTTCCTCAGGTGTCACTTGAGTAGTCTACAACTGCCATGCACATTCCCTCCAACATGAGACATGCCAATCTGAAAAAGCTTTGCTGGCACTGAAACACAAAACCACTAACTACAAAGAACTTGACTGTTGATCAGGAAGCCTTCCAGGGACACCTGGGCGGCTCAGTCGATTAAGCGTCTGCCTTTGGCTCAGGTCATGGTCCCAGGGTCCTGGGATTGAGTCCCACATTGGGATCCTTGCTCAGCGGGGGCCTGTTTCTCCCTCTGCCTCTCTGCCTCTCTGTCTCTCTCTCATACATACATACAAATAAATAAAATCCTAAAGAGAAAAAGAAATTCTCCCAAGGAAACTTTTTTAAAGTTCTTATTTACAATTAGTCCACATACACTATGATACTCATTTCAGGTGTACAATCTAGCGCTTCAACACTTCCAGGCAACACCTGGTGCTCATCCTAATCCCTATCACCTATTCAACCCATTCCCCCAAACACCTCCCCTCGGTAACAACAGGTTGTTCTCTCTACTTAAGAGTGTTTCTTGGTTTGACTCTTTTTTCTTCTCTTGGCTCATTTGTTTTTTTTTTCTTTATAAACTCCACAGATGAGTAAAATCATACAGTATTTATCTTTCTCTGATTTATTTTGCTCATCAAAGCAAATCTTGATCAGAAGGAGTGAGGGTGTTACACAAATACAATGAATCATGGAACACTACATCAAAAACTAACGTACTGCATGGCGACTAACGTAATAAAATTTTTTTAAAAGGGTAATTTTGAAAACTCCTAACGGGAAATGTCACAAAACACAGGCAGGAGGTTTGGGCAGGGGGAGCCCCCACACCCTACCCCTCCAAATAAAGTGGGGACCCAACAGGAAGACATGGACTTGACCTCGCACATGGATACTCCACTACTCCAGCTAGCAGAACTCTATTCTCATCTCTATATCCCCCCCTCACCTCCTCCAACAGGGCTCACCCACGAGAAGCTACAACACTTGGAACTCCCAGATGCCACCAATGGACCTTCGGTTCTTAACAGCCTTCCAAATTGCCCCCTTTCCTCCTGAAAACAGGGAGCCTCTCTGATATTCCCCAATGTGCCTACGGTTGAATCACAGCTTCTCTGTCCTGCATTCAAGTCTCTTTCCTTCCAAAGAAACCCGACCTGGGCTGATAATTCCCTGAGAGTTTCTACCTTTAAGGTTACAAACTGGACGGTACTTGGTTTTTACCTGGGGCTCTGGTTCCAGCAGAAATCAGAAAGTGGGATCCCAGCTCATTCTTCTAGAAGGTCCTGAGAGGCAGCAGTTAGCGTCTTCACCTCCCAACTAAATGCTGCTCCCCTTCCTCTTAATTGGAGTCAGGATTTCTCCCCAGAAACAAGCCTGCATCTGTAACAAAACCACCACAGCATCTCTGACGGGGCGTCGCGGGACCCCTCCATCCACGGATGCCCGAGTCAAATACCTCTTGTTCAAATACCCTCAGGGAAAATAAGGACCAAACCAGGGCAACAGCCCCCCAAATGCAAGCGACTGTGCTGCTCACCTACCAGCAGGGCCTGGGAAGCCGCCCAGAGCCCCCTGCTCAGCACTCAGCCAACAAGGCTGCTTCTCCTTCGCTCCTCAGGAGGCACCAAGTTGCTGCAAAGGCCCCAGGTTCTCCCAGGGCGGCGGCAGAACTTGCTGGTAAACGCAGCCCTGGCTCTCGGAGGGTAGTGGGTCCTCGGGGGGCAGCAGAAACCTCTCCTGCCCTGCGGTGCCCTGGGTCAGAGAAGGCCATGAAGTCTTCCTACAGCAGGCAGTTGCTGCGCCCTCAGGGAAACCGCCCCCCCCCCCGTCGGAGGTGCGCGCGCGCCCCCGCCCCCCCCGTCGGAGGTGCGCGCGCGCCCCCGCCCCCCCCGTCGGAGGTGCGCGCGCGCCCCCGCCCCCCCCGTCGGAGGTGCGCGCGCGCCCCCGCCCCCCCCGTCGGAGGTGCGCGCGCGCCCCCGCCCCCCACCGTCGGAGGTGCGCGCGCGCCCCCTGCCGGCTGCCCTGGGAATCCCTACAATTCTCCAAGCCATGGCTGCTCAGCTGCAGGCACTGAGGGTGCTTGGGTCCCGCCAAGCCTGTTCTCCAGACTGGGACAGGGCTTTGTGACGGTGCCTCAGACACAAAGACATCTGTACCTTCTCCTTTCTGTGTCACTGAAGAATGAAACCGATTTTGTCAATGTCACTAGGGAACTGCTAGCGCTGCCACCACTCCCCTCCAAAATACAGACTGCAAATTGACATAATGCAAACTCACGTGCTTGGGTTTACCCACCAAAAGGTTCCTAGTACATAAAACACTGACACCCAGTACACTATCTTAATTTTGCTTTCAATCTTCTCCCTCTTAAGAACAGAATAATTTCCGGTCAGGTCAGGATATTGAAATTCCATTTAGGTAAGACATCATCTAGCACCATGATCTTGATCGTGACAGCGTAGTTTCAACTTTGCCAATCAAGTGTTTGGGAACACATAGGTGACAGGGTCCAAATGCAAACCTAGAGGGAGCTACACATGCCTTATGAATTACTGCATGTCTCCTGAGATAATGTTTTCAATGAAAAGTGATTTAGACATGGAAGATGGATGAAATCGTTTCCATCAGTCTGGGAAGGAACCCATTTTACCTTCAAATACTAATTGCCATCCGGTCACAACTAGAAGAAGCTTGGTGAAGTATGACGTTTCTGCTTGGATGTAAGAGAATGCTTGGGGTTTGTTTTTTGGTTTTGTTTAAGATTTTTTTTTGACTTGTTCCCTCTCTCACTCTGAATGAGAGACAGTGAGAGAGGGAACACAGGCAGGGGAGTGGGAGAGGGAGAAGCTGAGCCGGGAGCCCGATGCCGGGTTTGATCCCAGGACTCTGGGATCATGACCAGAGCCAAAGGCAGATGCTTAAAGACTGAGCCACCCAGGCGCCCCGAATGCTTGGGGTTGGAAACTGTCCACCTACCATCCTGCATCAGGATCCACAGTGGACATGAGGATAGCAACCCCCCCATCCTGCTGCACATTGCTAGCTCCGGAGGGAGAACACGGACCTTATTTTCGAATACTTTGGGTCGAGATCAGCAATGCATCTGTGCCAGTTCCAGGCTGCAGGATCTGGGGCCTGGTTTTGGAAATTGAGCAAGGCCCCTCTGGTATAGGAGGGCTCCCTGGCCCACGGCCTCCACACACCTGGACCACCTCCCCCTTTCCTCCTTGCAATTCCTCATTGTCCCTTCTTCTCTCGACCCCTATCTCCCTCTGATTCTTCCTCACCCTCTCTCAGGCTCCTGGTGGTGCCACACTCCCTGGGTGTTGTCCAGAAGTCCCTTGAGAGAGAAGCTTATGAACTTTATGAATTAAAATGGTCATGGAGATCCCACACAGATCAAGCATGAGATGCAGCTTGGCATTTTTCCATTTATGTGCATAATGTAAACCCCACACTAACACCTAATAAGGTGACAGAGATAAGGGGCATTTCTAGGGATGTTTAACGTGTAACACCTTCTCCCTTAATATGGGATGATTTGAACACCATAAATCTTTCTATCCAAAGGCAAATTCCCAAGACAGAAGAGGTCTATTTTACTGCCATTTATTCAGTATCATTTTCATCCAGTTCCCACTGATTTTTCCTTTCAGATTTCCTTCTGTAGTTTTGTTCAAAAGGCTATTCAATTACCAAACATATGTGGCAATGCTAGTTATCATTTCTTCAATGATCCAGCACATTTGCAACTGTGATCAAAGAACATCCTTTGTGGGTTTCACTCTTCTGAAATATATTGAGACTTGCTTTATGTCCAATTCATGCTTAAATTTTATAAACATATGATATGTCCTTAAAAATAATGACTCTCCTTTATCTTCTTGGTAAAATAACCTATAGATTTCTGTGTATAACTGTATGTATTAATATATATACATATTTCTGTATCTGTATATATTCATTTTATACGAATGTAGAATAGTTTTATTTTTTAACTTCTATTTTATCTTATCTAATATCTAAATGCATAATTATTATACATGTATTTTATGTCTTTATTTTGTATCTCCTTCTATATGCTATGTACTTTATATGATTATGTATCTACCTCTACATTCAGATGTTTTAACTGTCCAATCTTCTGTATCCTTACTAGTTTGGGGGCTGCTGAGAGAGGGCTGTGAAAATTTGCCACTCGAGGATTTTATTTTTCCTGCATTTTTTTTGAAAGATTTTATTTATTTATTTGAAAGAGAGAGCAGAGAGAGAAAAAGCATGAGTGGGGGGAGGGGCAGAGGGAGAGGGAGAAGCAGACTCCCGCTGAGCAGGGAGCTGGATGTGGGGCTCAATCCCAGGTCCCTGGGATCATGACCTGAGCTGAAGGCAGACGCTTAACTGACTGAGCCACCCAGGCACTGCAAAAGCTTGCCCTTGTTGGTCGGTTGGTTGGTTTAGAAAGTTGTGGATTTTTATCTGGATCTTTTTGTCCATTCGCATTCAATGGGACTTTTTCTCCTTGACTTTACATTTATCATCTCATGATGTGCGTTCTATTTGTCCAGACTTCTCTAGTTTTTCTTCTCCTTTTAAAATCTGTTACTATCTGATATTATGCCCTTCACTTTGATCCTGCCTCATGAGCCACATGGAAAAAGTCTAGTTTCACTGTAAGTAAGTGGTGTTAAGTTCACCGTGGTTCCCACAGTCCATATCTTGTGCCCTAACATCATTTCCCCTAAAGACCATCTACTGATAACTGGTGGCTGAATTGTTATGTTTGTTTAAAGGTGATTTCTTCTTTCCACTGTCTACTTGTATCTTTAATTCTGAGCAATCTTTTGTAAAGATCTTTCCCTTCTCTCAATCTCGATTTTCAAAGCTTTTCTTAAGGAGTACTCTAGACTCATGGATTATCATTCAGTATTGGGAAACTATTCCTGCCATGATTCATTTTGATCTGCAGGTTGTCTTCATTTGGACAGTGGTGACCCTTTCAAGCTGGTTCCTGCATCCTTTTCACATGAAGAGGTCCTCATTCTTGGTCCTCAGAAGTTCAGGCACGGAAACCCAGAGCCTGAGAAAGGATTCACATCTGCTTGATAAAAAAATCTCTCAGTCTACATCAGAGTCCAGTAAGTTTGGGGAACAACCTGATGGGTCCGATAAAGGTTCTGTTTGGTAAATAACCTCATCAGAGGTGGAGTAAGAAGCCACTGGCCTGAGGTCAATGCTGAGTCTTCCCCCAAGACAGGCCCTCTGAATCTATTCTTCCCGGGGTAGGCCTTTTATTCTGTTTTCTCTTCTCCACGAAGAATATTTTGAGTTCTATGAGGATTTAAATACCCCTTTGCTCCCTTCACCAGAAAGAATCAAGTGGCATGTAGCTCTATAAAAGCTCATAGAGTCTTGGGTAGAAGGGAAGGCTCTCCGTTGGTTGGAACCCTAGCTCCCTCACTCTCTAGCTGTGTGCCTTTCTCTGAGCCTCAGCATGCTCATCTCCAAAATGGGGGTGACAATGAGATTTTTCTACTGTAGGGCACTGTCGCCTGAGAGCAGAATGATTACTGACGCACACCTGACATAAAGCACTCAATAAGCCTGACATCCTATTCCTTACCTTTCCTTGCCTTGCATTTTTTTAGCTACTGTCTTTATAACTGGACCATTTCTCAGGGCAAGGCCTAAGCACTGGGTGTGTCTCCCGACCACCACCCCTCCCAAAATATGCTGGTGCTCTTCCCAGTGCCTGGCAAAAGCCTCGAGTTCAACGTAATTGTGTTGAATTCAATTACTTCTTTGCCATAGATCAATATCCAGGCAATCCAGGACTCCAGACTGGGGCCCATTCCCTCGTGCAGTCCCAGGACTTAAGTAAAGGCAGAGCAGGACCTTCAGTCATACTCACATCCCCTCCTACTAATCAGAGGGGATCAGGGGAGATGGAGGACCCAAGGAACCTCTGACAGCTGAAGGGTGGGAGTCTGGAGCCAAGATGGATCGTGGGAAACCTTGGGGAGCAGAAAAGGAGGACGTGACACAGAAAGTGGGAACAGGGGAGGTGGGGTTGGATGACAGTGAGTCTAGGACTGGAGACAAAGATAAGGACTGGGGATGTATCTAGGGTGGGCATATAGCCACACAGTACCCTTATGGACAAAACAGGAGTCAAAGAAGAACCTTCAAAGGCTAGGGTATTTGAGCTCAATAATAGTGCCACTGATAATGATCCTACAACAAATGTCTCCTTCCAGCCTGAGCATTCCACTTTGTGTGACAAGTTGAATAATCTCACTGTGATCTATGTCAGTCCACCACCTTGTATGTGTGGCTTTTAAGTTTTCACACACAAGGGAAAAATGTAAGTTGATTCTCATGACCCAGCTTTGAGATCTCCCAAGAACGTGTGTCTTTTAAAAGCAGATTCTCTCCTGGGGCACAGAGGGACAATACCCACGATTCTTGGCAGCACCAGGAGTTAGGAGTGGTTGGGTCCCTCAGAAAGTGACTCTAAGACAAGGATGTGGTATAAGTAGTTTCTCTGGAAGGGTCTTCAGGAAGCAATGACAGGAGCTAAGACGTGAAGGAGTCGAGCCAACACACAAGACGGTATTAGTTTAGAGGTCACGGCTGTGGGCAACTCTCCGTCTACTGGGAACGTCCAGAAGACTGTGCAGAACAGCCCTGAGTCATCCCGCCCATGTATGAAAAGACCTGCATGGAATGAGTGCTGCTCTCGTGGACATGAATTACCTGGCAGAAGAGCTCACTGCCCCAGCTAAAGAAGCCATTAGGAAGCCAATGGACACACTCAGGCAAAGAGCTGCCGGCAACTGCAGTATAGGCAGTCACTGTGTGTGCAGGATGGGGGGTGCCAGTAATGACAGCAGGGCACCAACCCTCTCCTCACATGTGTATATTCAATATCATGACCCCTGGGATCTGAAACATTGAGAAATTAGTGCAGTGCTCCACGTCATACGCCAAATGACTGGCATGGTTCCTTACTTTTATTATCACTTACAGTCCCAACACTGATACTTCCTAAATAACAACTTCTGTCCCATGAAAACCCGAACTCCACTATTTGAGTCTAGAAGTTTCAATTCAAGCAACTTTTCTAATAAGCACTCTTCAAAACTTGCCAGGGACAAAGACATACTCCTTTAACAAGGGATGGAGGACTACCTAAAGTCTATACCTTGACTGCAAAACAGTGAACACTTTCCTCCTCCAGGAAAAAAATTCCCATTCCCTGGAGTCTCAGGAGGCATGGGACCTGAAGCTTAAGAGTGCTCACTAACCTTGAAATCAGTGTTAACCAAGTGCAGTTTTCCAAGCTTAACAGCAATTGATAGTATGTTGCATTAGTGACAAAAAAAAAAAAAAATCTAATCATGTTCTCTTCCTATAAACATTACCAATTAACTGTGCAGTAAACGCATGTTTAAGTGGAGGACACTCTGTGCTTTTACCTGGGGCTCTGGTTCCAGCTGTAACAAAACCACCACAGCATCTCTGATGTGACATTGCAGGACCCCTCAATCCACGGATCCCTGAGTAAAATACGTCTTGTTGAAATACCCTCAGGGAAAGGGAGGAATGAACCAGGGGAACAGCTCAGGAAATGCAAGCGACTGTGCTGCTCACCTACCAGCATGTCCTGGGAAGACACCCAGAGCCCCCTCCTCAGCACTCACCCAACAAAGCAGCTTGTCTGTGGCACGTCAGGAGGCACCAAGTTGCTGCAAAGCCCCCAGGGTCTCCCACAGGGTGGTGGCAGAACCTACTGGAACCACAGCCCTGGCTCTCTATCCTGGGGCAGCCAGAGTCGGGCTGGATCCTTGGGCTGCTACAGAAGTCCTTCCTGCTCTGAGATGCCCTGGGTCAGCAAACGCTGAGAAACCTCCGCGTCCCGGTGGAGGTGCGCGGGCGCCCTCTCCTGGCCGCACTGGGAATCCCTACAATGCTCAAAGCCATGGCCCCTCAGCTGGAGGGACAGAGCATGCTCAGGTCCAGCCAAGCCATCTCTCTCCATGACAGATCCTGAGGCTCGGCCCCACAAGTCCATGCAAAAGGACGTGTGCCCATCTTCCCAAGTGAAACGGCCTCTGCAAAGCTCAGCCCTAGGAAGGTGGGAGCTTTGGGCTCAGGGAAATCTGATCACCTGCTTTCCCACCTTCTCGGGTCCCAATGCTCAAAGCACCTACACATCGACCTCCTCCACCCTGGTCCACGGTCCACTTCCATACACCTAGACCAGCAACCTCTTTTCATCCTTGAAATTCCTCTTTGTCTCTGCTTCTCTCTACCCTGTGTCTCTCTCTTTGTTCCTCTCACTTTCTAGGACTTGCCCAATCCCCCCACCACTCACTCAGTGTCTCTCTCCCTGACAGTCTCTTTCCCTATCTCTCCGCAGGCCCTCAGGCCTTCTGCTCTGTGCAGCCCTGTCCAAGACCACAGGGAACCACCTCTCCTGTCTCCCCCTCTCTCCTGCCATCATTCGGCCCAGACCCTGCTCACAGGGCATGGCAATCCCATTGTCAAAGGCTGCTCAGGCTGACCTTGACTACAGCAGTGCAGTTACCAGCCACTCCTGGGAAGCATGTGGACAGACAGACCTGGACACCTTGGTGGCCCAGCCACGACCTCAAAGCTACTGGAGGATGGCTGCTTCCACAACCCGGGAAGAAGGAGGGCTTTGCAAGACCCAGGAGTTGTGGTGCAGAATGGATTGGAGTAAAGGACTAAAAAGTGACAGAAGCATACACCCAACTCCTCCTGTGTGGTGAGGGAGGAATGGGTCTCTTGTCATTGGCCTCTGCCCTGCCCATCCCTCAACAAGGAAACTGGGGGCGGATTATGGGGCATCGTGGGTCTTACCAAGAAAACTGTCACCATCAGCCCCCCTCAGAGCCCATCTGCTGTTGGGGGGCAGCTGGTAAGGTGAAACCAGTGCACAAAATCTGGATTAATGCAGGGCCTCCTCACCGGTCTCCCAGGGCCACTAGGGATGCTTCGTTCATTCCTCACCATCACAACAGACCACTGCCTGGGGACAGACACCTGTCCTGCTGATCACCACACACCCCTTAAACTAGCAGGCGCCATGTGCTCAAGAGTATCTAGCACCAGAGTTCATACAACCACCAACAGACTTAAATACATGTTGTGTCCGCCTCCCCAGAAGGATTTCTTACGCCCCTTGCAGTAAAGATACCACAAAGGGGACTCTTGCTACTATTCTCCGTCACCACCATTGCTGCCGGTTTGTTTTCTGTGTGTACGGGCTTCACAGCGTGCACTCGAAGGGGAGCGACTGTAGGGCGTCCTGATGGCAGACGCTGACACAGAGACAGAACCGTGGAAGGTTTATTTGGGGGATCCCAGGAGAGACAGAGCACAGGGGACAGGATGGGCAGGGGCAACATTCAGGACATTAGGCTGATCTGACAATTTTCTAAATATATGCACACACAGCCTGGTTGTTACTGCTCTGGGAGGTCTTCAAATAGCAAATGTACTGTCCTGTAAGGCAGACGGATTGGGGTTAGTACACTGTGACCTTATGTTTTCCTGAATGCATTTGCTTCCTCTGGTATATCTGAGGCCTTGAATGAACACCTGAGGGTGTGGCTGCTTCCGTGAGTCTGTATGTAATAGAAAATAACTGTCTTCACATCTCAGATATGAATCTCTGAATATACATGTTCTCATAATGATCTTTTACTTCGTTCTTGGCTAGGACCTAAAATTTAATAGAAAAAAAAAGGGGGGGTCTTTGCCTTATTTTTGAAATGAGGATGCCAATCTCTGGGCTGAGGTGTTATACTCTCAGTGTAATGTTGTGGACTTAAATGAACATCTTTTGATGATCATCTGATGGAGCTATTTTCATTTAAACAGTGAGAAGGGGGAGTGGCCAAGAGCCCAGATATTTTGCATATTCTTTTTCTTTTCTTGAGATAGAGACCGAAAAAGGGCAAATTTGTGCTGGAAAGGCGGCGTGGGGGGCGTGGGGGGCGTGGGGGGGTGGGTGGGGAGGACAGAAATTCCTAGATAGGCTCCACACCCAACGCCGAGCCTGACTTGGGGCTCGATCACAGAACCCTGAGATCATGACCTGAGCAGAAATCAAGAGTCCGATGCTTAATCGACTGAGCCACCCAGGGGCCCCTGCAGATTCTTTATGTACTTCAACTCCTATTCTTCTAATGACCTCAGAATCCGACAGGCTCCCCTTTCACAGATAACAGAGCTGAGGCTCTGAGTAGGCCCCACGGAGAGCTGGCATTCGGGCAGGAACACAGGTCAATCCGCAGGATACTGTGACCAAAGTTCAGGGAGATGCAAAGTGCAGGCAGGGCGGTGACTCAGATGCAGAGGCGTAGTGACAGGGATCCAGCGAGAGTGGCTCCTGGTCAATCCTGAATGCCCCACGAAGAGTCTGACTCGGGCTGAAGGCCAAGGCAGCCACTCTGCTGATCTTGGTCCCGTCTTCACTTTTTCTCACTGGGGCCCACAAACTCAGGCAGACAAGAATCCCCAAAGGAACCGAGTTCAATTTCCCAAGTCTCCACCACATTCTTTCACCCAGTTCAGAACCTTCAGAAATTCAGAGGAAACAACAATCCTTATAGATTATGAACGAACAGCTTTATGGCAACCATGACGTTCTGATACAAATAATTGCATCATCCACGCTGTGTGATGGACACAGGCAGCAGCTCGGTGTGGATCTCACGGTGTCCTCACACTCACTGCTCAAGCTGCTGGCCTGCAGGAACGGCCTCCGCTCTACCCGAGAGAGGCCCATCCACTCCCCTGAGCACCTCCATCCTGCTCATCCACAGCCTCCTGTTTCTAGTGACTCATGGCTCCCTCTCTGGTCCTTCAGATCCATCGCTGGGGCTTCCCTTATACGGAACACAACCTCTCTGTCGTTTAATGAATGTGTCCCTCGCTGCTCTCAGACCCCTGAAATTCCCTCCTCATCCCTCCCAGAGCACAGAATATCGTCTCTGCACAGTGTGCATGCGCATACCTGCTGTGCCCAGCTTTTGGAGAAGAGCGGCTCTCCTTCACCACAAAGGGACCTGCTGACCACCTCAGTATGAGTGAAAGACAAAGTCCCTCAAAGGCGTCTCCTGAGCAACCTGAAGAAAGTGATCATGTCCTTAGCAACATTCACTCTCCCATAACATGAGAGGCCTGCATGTAGGACTGCTATTCCTTATGGAGGATGCCCCAGCGTCTGTATCTGACCCACGTCAGAGAAAAGACGGAAGACCATCCCACTGGAAGTGACTGAGCAACATTCTAACAAACCGTCTACACCTGCCTCCAGCATCTGCCACTGTTTCTCATTCTCACCTCCCTTACCGGACGAGAGGGTTTCCCACAAGTATCCACTGACTGCCGAGGACAAGGGACAGACCCCTGCCCTAATGATTAATCAAGGGACCATAGCCCTGCTTCAGGTGTTTATATAACTGAGGAAATGAGAGCTCAAACTCAACACGCTGAAAACAAAGTGAGAGGTGTGTTTCATCCCGCCCAGAACAACAACTGTGGACTCTGGACGTGCCCGACGGTAAGAAATATATGTCTGCCATTGTGCGATAGAGACACTTCCTTCCCAACAACGGCACCTCCCCCCGCTCAGTGTGTGGAAATAGCCCAGCACAACACCTGTATGTCCTGAGAAACTTCAGGATGTTACAGCGCCCCCAGGCGGTTTTCCCCTCCCAATGTCAAGGCCTCAGCACAAACTTGGCCTTTGCCCCACCAACTCAATAAGAAAGAAGACAATACAGATTATAAGTCAAATCATACAATTCATATCATCAAACCCTGTGGTGTAGGTTCGGGTGCAGGGTAAGGATGCAGAGACCACTGGGTGGGTGGAGGGAGATGTGCCCCAGGGCTCCAGGATGGTGATGAAGGGGGATCCGTGGGGTACGGTGGACCCAGTGGGCCGGGTACAGGAGCAGGTCCTCTTGCATCCACAGGGTTCTGCAGAACAGAAACCAAAGGAATGTTGCTATGACAGACAGAAGCAGAACCCCCATCAACCTGAAACCCGAAGAAGCAGGGGTCAGCACGGTGAGAAGTCCGGAGAAGCCCAGTGTCCACACGTGGAATCACAGCCCCTCGTGGGTCCAACTGCTGCCCACCAGCCCCCGCCTGACCCTGCTCCGCTTCCCTCCCTGACAAAGGGGTCTTCTTCTACTCTCCCAAGTGCTGTCCATGGCCACAGACACCGCTCAGGAGACGGGAGTTTCTGGAGTCCTGCAGCGGACCGGGAAAAGTGCTGAGAAGAACACGATCCCGATGAGTTCGTGAGACCCAGCTCTGTGGATCTGAGTCACCGACATTCCGATGCTCCTCAGCTCAGGCACAGAGCAAATGCATAGTCCTTGGTGCCGAGAACCACTGAGGGGCCCATTCTGCATCCCCGGGTGCAAACCAATGTGTCTGGAGAGCAGGCGTGACCCTCCCAGGGTGGATCAGGAGAGACGCTATCAGTCGGCACAGCCAGCAAACCGCATCAGAACCCGCTCACGGGAGCACGACTGAAACGTGTGTGAGCCGTGGGCCCTGCAGGGAGTCACCGGGATTCCCTCTTCACGGCTGTGCTCTGGGAGGCGTTTTCTACCACACAGCTGGCCCCTGGCAGAGTTCACCTTCATCTCACCCAGGGAGCAACTGGAGGGATTCCGGGTCGCGTCTTTACCCACACAGATGGAACGCACGTGAGGTCGCAGCTCACCTTGTCCACCAACACTCACGGCTGCCCAAAGCACGTGGCACAAAGTGTGAGGCAGGGCATGGCTTTTCCCGTTTCCAGCTGTGAGGATTACCGCAGACATTCTCCCAGCTTAGTCTCCTGACCCGAAACCCAACACCACTACCGCTCCCGCGGGAAAGCAAACTGCAAGGAGTCAGCGGGACTGGCCGACTTCAGTGTGGAGTGAGATATTGCTCTCCTCCAGGAGTTTACACACACACACACACACACACACACACACACACACACACACAAGGGCAGGGTCCTGCTCTCCTTCATTTCTAAGCACGTGGAGCTTCAGGACGCCCCGCGTAAGGTGATGATTTGGAAACAGAGAAGTCTGTAGGCTCCGAATGAAGACTGGGCATATTGAAAGGTCAATGACACCACACACAGATCCCAGGACATACCCAATAGACACAGGTCAGGACAGGGTGCTGCCCAGACAGGAACAGGATTCCAGAAATGGTTACAACTGAGAAAAGACACAGTATTTACCTAGTCCTTCTGTGGGACCTTCTTGGGCGGGGTGCCACTGTTGTCCCCTTGAGAGCCACAGGTTTCTGAATACGACCGAAGCCCTGCAAGGGACAGAGGTGGATTCAGACTGGCCTTGACCATGCAGGATGCAAGCCAACCCTCTACACCTGCCCCACCCTATTCCACGCTCTCCCACTCCCACATCCCTTCCAGATTCAGAGCATTTCTCACAGGTCTCCTCTCACCCCTGCGGACAAAGGAGAGACAAGTCCCCCACAACTGAGGATGTGATCAGTCCACCCAGTGACAGATGTTTTCAGAGCTAGTGAATAACACTGGACAACTGGGGCCTCCACAAGTAACAGTGATTTGAGGTTGTGCTTCATCCATCCCAGGGCCCAAAACATTGTGTCTGGGCAGTGCCCATGGGCAAAGCTTTTATGTCTGTCCTTTGCAAACTGTCACTTTTCTTCTCTATGGCAGACACCTGCTGCCCATTTCTGTAGGGTGAAACAAGACAGTCCATGAAATGGATGTCCACAGAAAGGTGACGAATGCTACTATGTCCTCACTCAGGTCGATCCTTGCATTGCAAAGCCTTCTGGTACCTCCTCTACATCTTCTCCACCAACAGAAGTACTTAAACTATGAATAGGCTTTACGATTCAGGTCATCCAGTTCAGATCATCTTACCATGTGTAGCAGGAATGAGCTGTGGTTGAGGCCCCCATGTCCACCCATGTGGAGGAGGTGGAGGTGGCCCATAGCCAGGGAAGCCTGGTAAACCCTGCCCCATGTGGTAGGGCATATGGGGGGGCCTTGGAGCATGAGGAAACCCTCTCACATCTGTACCGACCTGCAGAACAGAGGACAAAATATTTGGGTAAGACAGCCAAAAGTTGCAACACCAAGAGATGAAACCCAAAGAGCAAGCTCTCAGCATCTGGCTCCTTCCCCAATACCACGTTCCAGGAGAGCCACGTCATGCTAGAAAACTTTGTCCCTCCCAATTGCTGCCTACTATCATAAGGGGGGGGACGGGGAAGGAGAAAGGATGTTACAGGAATAACCTACTGTCATCAAACATCACTACCCAAGTCTGCCAACATTCACTACCAAGAAGTAGAGTCTTAAAGGGTGAAAAGGGATCACTGGAAACAAGTAAAGCAGCCCACACTCCAGACAGGGAGGCATCGACATCGTGGACAACACTTCATCTTTCCTCTTCAACCACCGCAGAAGATTTGGGTTTGTTAAGAATAGACAGAATGTGATGAAACTGAATGCCCTTTCTCCACAAGGAATCCGAGCCACTCGAGGTGAATCCCTTGCCTGCAAAGCCCCTGACTGTCCCCACCTGCCTCACTTCCTGACAAAGCCGTCTTCTACTCTCTGCAGTTTCTGTCCAGGCCACAAAGACCCTTGAGGATTTAGGGGCCTGTGGTCTGATAGGGGACCTGGAAGAGGGTTTTCTGAGAGGAACATGATACCAATAGCCCTTATTTACGTGCAGCGGCTGTGTTTATCTTAAAACACAGTCATTGGAATTTTCCGCACACTGAGTTCCAGAGCAATTTTGTCCAGTGGGAAATTAAGATGGGAAGGCTAAATAAGGCTAACTTTTGTGAATTTTGAGAATTCACAAAAATGTGTATGCTTTCTGACGGACAACTCCAGAGCGTGTGATGAGAGAAGAAACCAGCTCTCACAGTGACCTAAGACCAAAAGGACCTGCTCCTAGAAGCCCAACTGCAGGGCTTGTGAGGCCCGGGTCATGCAGCTAATCACCGACATCCCCGCTTCAGAATGTGTGTGCCAGGACACCCCCCACTTTGGAAATTCACAACAGTCGTTGAAAGGGTACAAGTAGAGGGATTCTGTACAGCATTTGTACCAGCAGAAGGAAAACAGGGATGACTTATGAAACTTGCCCTATCTAAGAACATTCCAAACTGCAAAACAGACAATAGAAAATGGAGAGAGAGTTTCCCCTAGTTTCCAGTTGTGAGGATTACCACAGACCTTGGCACAGGTAAATCATCGAACCCCAACATGAACACTACACCAATCGCACCTGATCGGAACCTACTGACTGGCAGTCAGGCCGGCCAGAGACTTCACTGTGGAGTGACGTGTCATCCTCCTCGAGCTACTTTCCCCCACAGGCATTGTGCGTGGGCAGGGGTGGACGGATGGACACAAACACACACACGCACGCACACACTCACACACACAAGCACACACGCACACACAGTGAGCGCCCTGCCATCCTTCACCTCTAAGCACCCGTGGCTTCAGGAGGTGCCACCGAAGGTGAGGATCTGTAATGGAGAAGCCTGTCAGCCCCCGGGTGAACTGCTTGTATTTTGAAAGGTGAACGACACCACAGACAAACCCTAACCCACCCAACAGACACAAGGCCAGGACAGGGTGCTGCTCAGAAAGGGAAAAGTTTCCGGAACACCTGGTAGAGGCCACAGTAGTTACCTTGCTCATCCCTGGGTCTCTGTGAGGCTCGGTGCCCCTGTTCCCCATGGGAGACCCACCAGTTTCAGCATCAGACCAAAGCCCTAGAACAGATGGAGGTGGATTCAGACCAGCACTGACTGTGCAGAAATCAAACCAACCCTCCAAACCCGCCCCTAACACGTTGCCCTCTGTCCCACTCTTGGGTCCCTTCTCAGACACACAGCATTTCTCAAAGGTCTCTGCTGACCCCTGAGGACAAGGGGGAGACCTCTGCCTCTCCCCCTCGAGGATGGGACCACCATCGCCCAGCTTGCTTCAGGTGTTTTCATAGCTAAGGGGACAGCAGTAGACTGCTCTGGGCTCAACCAGCTAAAAATGGATAAACCCTCAACATGAACGGCATGCATTCTCGTCTCAGGCCGCCAGTTGATGGTTCAATCCTTCAGTCTATAGATGAGGCCTAGCATGTGTGGCTGGCTATTACATAAATATTGAAGAGAAGAATTGGAGTACACTAATCGTACAGCCAGGAGCAAAGTAAAAATAGGCAGATTGAGAAGTAAAGCTGTGGCTTTATACCGATAACATTAGAGGAGTAAAATGCATGAATTTCATGGATTAATATAGGACTGTAGATGACGAATAAAACAAAAATCAAGGAACCTCCATAAAGAGTAAATAAATGCCATTTTTCTCCATTTCTTTTTTTCCAAAAAGTCTTCACCATTGCATCAAGGTGGGAAGGGAGCTCGGGCCCACAACTCCTCCAGGCTCAGCTCTTCAGTAGGTGGGTGGTAGAGGAGGTGGGAGGGTCTGCAGTCACGGGAGGGGCATGAGCTCCACCTGTCACAGGGACAGGTGCCCTGCGGCCGGTGGGCACCTGAGGAAAGCACCCTCCTGTCACCCCTTCAGACAACCCGCTGTCCTTAGGTAGTGCTTGTGATTCTCTCCAGGACACACAGTGATCACCCACAGGAACGGGAAGGACACCATGTGCTCTCCCAGCAGAGATCAGGCTGCTGCATTTCACAGCACGCTCCCTACCTCTCTGCACACGGTTCTGTGTCTCAGGTCTTCCCGGCATCGGTTCCTGCCTCATGGATCCCTCAGGCAGCATCTCTCTCCTCATCATGTGCAGTCTTGAAGACAGAAAAAGAATGGACGTCTATAAGAATGACACCACCATGTCCTCTACTAGACACTAAACAGCTTAGCCTTGACCCCTCAAGACGCCCAGAAAAAGGCACGTCAAAATCACACACCTGTGTTTCACATAGGCGTTCTCCCTCCTCTGCTGCACTATCTTCCTCTCCCAAACCTGAGCCTTGATCTGGGGGAGAAAAACACATCCACCTTCAGCTGTGCCGGACTGGGCCCCAAACGAAGAGGAGGAAAAAGAAAACACTTACCCAATTATCTAGAGCACTTCTCTCATGAGCTGCGATCTGAAAAAGTCAACACACCAAGAGCCCATGTTGGGGGATCGAAGGGCCACTTCCATCACCTGCAGGAGGCGCTAAGGGGCCAGGAGGTTGGGGCACAACTCAGGTTACCTTGTGTTGGAAGGTGAGCTCTGCCTCCTGCAGCTGATCTTGCATCTCTCCAATTTCTTGCCTGTGAGTTATAAGTGCTCTCGTCAGATAACACCCAATATTGGCTGTGATTTTAAATCATCTGCCCACGTGGCCATTCTCCTCTTATCTGTCCCCTCATACAATTGATCCTCACACAGGAAACACTTTTCACATGGTTATAATGTACAGTAGGATCAAAGCTATTGTTACCTCTTTTCCGTAATCATTTTTCTTCCCCTGCAGGGTGCAGAGTTGACATAATTTCCTTACCCATTTTCAATCTCGCCCTAATTTATCACGTGACAAGGGTGCCATCAAGTGTGCTGGGCAACTTCTATCCTCGCCATGGCTCCCAGGGCGGCAAAGACCAGCGCCATCAGATGGCCCTGCCGGGCTTATGGGTAGGATGCATCCTACGACAAACTGCTTTCCTCCAGATTAGGACAACTGACACCACCCCCAGGGACGATGGCGTGGAAGAAGGCTCCACAGAATCAGGCCAGCGCTGGGGATCAGGACATGTTTAGTAATGAAATTGCTTTGTTCTTTCTAGAGCTTAACTTTTTGTGTCTGTTAATTCTCTCCGGATATGCCTCTGAATTTTTGTTTATATTACATGTGAATTGAGTCTAAACAATGAAGAAAAGTTAAAAATACAAAGTGAACAGGGATTTCAGGAGCCGCTAATATTCAGTGTCTGAACTCACTTGTACTTGTCCGTTGCTTCTGTGATTCCTTTCAGATTTTCCATGGCAGCGGACAGCTGACTCTCTGTTGCCTCCAGGTCACAGCGGGTCTTTGCAACCTTCCTAAGACAGGAAAGGTATAGACATGGTCCAGTAGCCAAGGTCCAGAAGTTCTGCCGTCATTCCTCCCAGCACACTGGATGGCCTAGATTCCAATGTCCCTCATAAATGCACAGACTGACAACACAAGGAGGGAAATGAATTGAAGGTCCCATTTAGGGTTAAAGAAAAATCAAACTCTGGATGCTGCCAAGTCCCTTGCAATCGGAGCTGTCTTTACACTTCTCTACTTCATTATCAACTCCTCAAGTAACATTGCAGCTTGTGTCCTCTCAGAGTTGGTCTTTTGTCAGAGACGGTGAAGGCTCCTTTCAGTTCAAAGTGAAAAACCAAGCCTGACCAACTATAGGATGAAGCAGGGGACCATCGTTAGTCGTACACCTCCATGGGGAGCCCTGATCCTCAGACCAAGGCTGTGCCTGACAAAATGAACCCAAAAGGAAGCCTTCCAGAATATGGCTTCATCAGCATGGCAACTCACTCCCAGACATCTCTGGGTCTACAACTACAACCCCTGCCTCCTCCTTTGAAGAGGCCAATCTTAGTACCAGCAATATGTCCTGAAGCGCAAAAGGCTGTGAACTGTCACATAGCCAGTGTGTTATCTCCACGCAACAGATTTCAGATGGAAAACTATCAATTGCATGGAGTCAACCGACTTTAACAAGACTGAGTTCACTGATAGTGAAGGCAGCAACGTGCGATGCTTAAAAAGGCTGCTTTGCTGTGCTGCCCTCAGACTCTTTTGCTCATGGTGTTGATTTAAAGGGTTTCAAGAGGACACCTCATTTCCTCAAGATCACATGCCAAAAGACTCTTAGAAACTGAGTCAAAAGCTCCCGACAGAGAAAGACACATGCATTTGCTTCTGGTCTCTCAGGCAATCCTTCAGCAAATGCTTTCTGGAGCGGCTGTAATGGAGTGGCTCAGTTGGAAGGTGTAGAAGACAGAAAGGTGGTCAGGACACTGTACCCACCCCCAAAAGAAATTTCCAATGAACTGAACCAAGATGCCAGTGACACAGAGCAGCCCCCATCCCCGCTGTGGGAAGGAATAACACAAAGCTGAGTCTCCAGGGAAGACAGGGAACAGTTTTGCTTTTCAACGTGAATGAGGGACTCTAAGGTCCTGATCTCCTCCTGAGAAAAGAAAGGAAACACTGGACAAAAGAGCAAACTCGTGAGGGAATGCACCCAATTTCTAAAGAGTACATGAAGAAACACGAGAACCAGATGGAGAAGAAGGAAGCCTAGGAGAAAGCCAGCCTGGCAGTGGGAGCCAATCTCCCCAGGACACATCAATACATTCTGGAACAGGCAAGTGAACTGTAAAGAAGCTGAACAACTTTATGGGCATGGGCTTAGAAGGAAACGAGTGAAGTTCAGGGTCAGCCAGCCAAGGTGAGCCCTAGTGAACCCGCAGGCTTTGGCTGGGACCCAGGAGAGTTATACCTAAAAAAATCCGGTGGATGGGAAATACCCTGGCCTTCTTAGGGACTGGGCGACAGTGAGTGATGTCAGTTGTATACTGGATGAAGGCATCCAGGACTGCTGGAGCCCCAACCCACATTCCACAAGGAGACTCCCAGTGTTTCCGCAGCAAGACAATTCCATTTTTCTATCCCCATTATTGACCCAAGGCTCGTACTGAACCAAAAGTGACTGAATTCAGGGCTAATAAGAACATGTGATGACACGGAAACCAAAAGGACAAGGCAGACAGACCCAGAGGGGATCCAGGTATCAAAGGTTTTAAGGAGGGTACCTTCCCTCTTCTACTCCAAGGAGTCACACAACAAGCGTGACAAGCAGTCAGAACACAAAGGGAAATGCAGGTCACACACATCAAGGCAGCAAGGGCAGGCACAATTCTACAGAATGCATTTGGCAAAAATACTCTAGATCCAATTCTAAAAGAAATACACTTATCTAGACTGGCCGTCACCTAAATTCATACAATAGTATTGGTGACAATTCACACAAGAATAGCTTACTCTTCGGCAGCCGCTTGTCTTTGTTTAGAGAAATCCACCACGATATCCACTTTCCTCCTCAGCATTTTCAGTTCGGCTTCTTGAGTTGTTTTCAAAGAACTCAGGGCATTGCAATGGTCTTCCAACAATCGTCGACATTCTGGAAAGGATGAGTTTTCTTTTGTGTGTGTATGTGCACATGACCGGAGAACTTCGGTTTGATAGGGAAAGGAGAAGGGCAAGACCTTGAAGGCAGGAAGGCATTCCTTCCCTTCCCAATGCAAGCTCATTGCCACCATATGCGGATTTCTTCCCCCAAAAGAACATACCCTGCAGTTCTCGTTTTTTGGCCCTAAAGGCTCTCTGCTCTCCATCCTCGAATGCATCTTGGGCCTTCAAGACAGATATGAGAAAAGACATTCAGGAAATCATGATCACAGAACAACGTGAGGGTGTCTGACACCCTCCTCCTGCACAGGATCATGCAGTGCAACAAAGAAAGCCCTTAAGGCATAATGGAACAAGGAGGAAGTAAGCAAAGTGGAAAATAGTTCACGTCAAAGAACTCACAAATGACTTTCTTAGTGGCTTTCCTTCATATATATATCCACATACATACATATATACACATCTTCCCCTATTCACATTGAAAATGCTCTGTTTGGCATTAAGAGACGAAGGGACTGCACAGTTGGGTCAGCCATCGCCCTTCATCGCTCAAGTGTCTTGTGGGGATTTTCTACATATCTTGGAGGGCAGGGCTGAATGATGTGATCATTACCTCGCTGTGAAATCAACCATACTTCCTAGTCCTTATAAGAGCAAACCCCATCACGGTGGTTCTAAGTGAAATCCCAGCTCACTGCTCCGTAGGAGTTTCAGTTCCCAGAGGCCCACTCTCTACTGTGCTAAACAGCAAGCGAGGATGCTGCACTCATCTCACCCAGTGAACCAAAAGCCTGCCGGGGCCACATTAAGGTAAAACTCAACAGCCAGCTCTTACCACATCCTGATTCTTGACCTTCTTCTCTCTCTCAAATTGCAAGTGAGCCAGTGCCCAACGAAGGGTGTCATTTAAATTTTCATTAACTTCGTCAACCTTTTCGATGTTCTCCTTCAACAAAACATTTTGAATGAGTAATAATAATTCATTCCTTGGGGCACCTGGGTGGCATCTGGGTGGCACAGTCGGTGGAGTGTCTGACTCCTGCTTTCGTTTTGGCTCAAGGCCTGATCTCAGGGTTCTGGGATGGACCCCTGCATCAGGCTACACACTCAGCATGGAGTCAGCTTGGGATTCTCTCTCTCCTTCTGTCCCCTACCACTCACTCTTTCTCTCTCTCTCAAATCAATCAATCAATGTTTAAAATAATAATAGTGATAATGATAATGATGATAATTCATTACTTTTATTTCTGTTGTTAGGACACAATTCAGGCAAAGAAGGGATTCTTACCTTCAATTTAAGAACTTCCTCAGAGAGAAACTTATGTTCACTCTTAGTTTCTGCAACATGCTTCTTGCCTTCCCGGATCTATAAAACATATGAAAAAAGGAAACAGAATTCCAAAATAGCATCGTGTTACACAAACCTATCTACTAATGTGTGACTCCTTTCAAAATAGAGAGGCAGTGCTCTACATTCGTGAAGCTTCTCTTGAATCAGGACCATTTCTGGATCACATGAAATAGGTCAATAGGATGAACTACAAGAGGTGGAAGTAACCAAAATGAAATCACAAAAAGTATTTGAAAAGGCACTGATACCTTCAGCTCCCAAAGGGATATTTCCTGAGCAAGCTCCCTGTTTTCTGTCCTAAGTCGATGGATCTTCTCATTTATTTGTTGTAAGGTTACTAAAAGGAGAAAAAAGAATCGCAAAGATAATTAGCAAAACGAGTGACATTGAATAATCCCAGTGTATGAGCACCAGAGACACATTCTCTGACACTCGGGTGTAACTAACTTGTTAGCATTCCCATTGTGCCCTAAGGAAGCAAGTTTTAGCAGCATTTGAAACCCAAGACAACCTATTTTGGGGAGATTCCTACTTAAATTTTTTTCAAAGATAGAGAAACGCCCTCAAATGTCTTCTACGTTTACTCCCATCTGTAAGCACCAGTCTTGGAAAATGCAATCACTGCAAATGCTGATGTCATCCCCAGATATGTAACAGAAAAATCAAGCATCCTGTCAACTAACATTTCTCTCCTCCAATGATTAAGGTACAAAAATAGGTCCCTGCCAACAACCCAAAATGAACAAAACCATCCTTTGCTCCTGCTCAGCGCCATGTCCGTTTCCAGATCCTCCTTGGAATTCCACACAAGGAAAGCTCAAAATGGCAATTGAGTGACAACTCCAAGGCCTTCAGTGACTTTCTGCTGCTCACAGATTGCCTGTCATGAACCCTAGGCAGGGGCTCTGGAGGACAAGACCTTTGGAATCAAACACACTCGGGTACAAACTCCACATTACAGTCTCTGGAGGGCCTGGATAACTCACACTCCCTGGAACACAAGCTTTTCTCATCCCAACATGAGAAGGTTACCCTCTACCCTGACAGGAAAACCACACTCATGAAGCGCCCTATCACAGATGGATAACACATCGAAGGTCGAGAACACAGACTCCTCTAACTGGCTCCTAATTCTCTCATCTTGGGGTACCTGCGTGGCTCAGTCGGTTAAGTGTCTGCCTTCAGCTTGGGTCACGATCCCACATCGGGTCATGATTCCACTCTGGGCCCTGGGGTCCCACATCTGGGTCTGCACTCAGTGGGGTGCATGCTTCTCCCCCTCCCTCTGCCAGCCACTCGGTCTGCTTGTGCTCTCTCTGTCAGATGAATAAACAGAATCTTTTAAAAAATAATAATTCTCTCATCTTACCTCAAAGTGCAAACTTCTCTTCTAGTGGCCCAATGTGAGCGCTCTCCTGCCCTGAGATCTCTCTTCTCACCACGCCCACTGCTGCACTCACAGGGACGAACACCAGCATTCGAGGGTTTGCTATGTGCCAGGCAGCCACCCTGGCCGTCAACAGACAGCACCGTGGAATCATCACAATCCATGAGGCCCGACACGATACATCAGCCCCACTGGCACACGTTCCTTTCCACTCATTCTCCCCTGGCAGGAAAGGCTCCCTCCACTTCAGACTCAAAACCATGGTTTAAACCTCTCTTGTGACACACGCTCTGTCTGGCAATATGTGGCTCCTTCTCTAAGTGTAGCCTGCTTGTTAGACTCAAAGAGTGTTTTCTCATCTTGACATTTCGCCAAGAGCCAGGTCATGGCATAGTACTCACTCCAGACCTCAGGCTCCTATCATCGCATGCCTCCTAAACATGTCTCTGCAAAATTACTCTTTCTATTCTCCCTACTCCCATGAGGTATACCTCCTCCTGGTCTCCTAAGAGATGGCAACACCCTCCACATTGTCACTTAGACTCCACATGGGAAAGAGAATGATTTTCAGGAGTTAACAAGTCACTTAGACATCAGAAGTCACCATATTTACCCCTAGTCGAATTATACCCACATCAAACACCGGTACTGAGAATTTACGACAATGAAAACTAAAGCCAAAAAACTTACCTTCATATCGCCGAGGCTTTATCTAAGAGAGGAAGAAACAAAATGAAGTTTGATGTCAAAACGTACTACTAGGAAAAATCTCTAGTTCAGGTCAATACCGAAACAGTCATCCAAGAAAATTACAATCATCATTTTGTATAGCAGAATGACTTCACAGGATTAAAAAAGAAGACAAAATTGGAATTTCCTGATTAAGTCATCATAGTTCACAATCCATTTCTGATAAGGAGCACAAAGGTATATAACTTAGTTTTGACCCCAAAATCTATTCACATACTGTGAAATGAACGTTCAACCTGTTCAATTCTTGACAGCGGACCATGCAGACATTTAAAAAAATATTCATTAATTCATCATTTCCGTAACTTTAATGCAACCCGATATGCACACTGAGTTCAGAAACGGATTATTATAAGATCCTGAAAGAAAGAAAATGGAAGGAAGGGAGGAAGGAATGTAGGAAGGAAGGCTGGCAGGTGAGCAAAGCTCTGACAAAATTATGCCGTTTTCCTTGTCCAGAAAGCTTCTCTGAACTATTACTAAGGGTTGGCTGTTTGCTGAATTCACACACAGTTATGGCACATCAGGTGCTATGAAGTTTCCCAGACTGCTACAGAGGGTCATCAAAAAGACAGAAAAGCCATCGAATGAGAAAAAGAGTGGCACGTGGCGAGAGACGAAGCATAAGCAACAAGAGAAATGACAGCGGATGTTTCAAAAGAGGGGAACCGGGCTATCCAGATCGAGTCACCCTGATAAATTATAGCTTAGTAAACTCTAGGCAAGACCCCATTTTGACACCATTAACATATTTCCCCATTCAAAAGTTTTACAGGATGAGGAGAGGCTGAGGCCCGCCCCCAAATCTTGCCAGGATATTGGAATATCACCATGCTATCAACAAGCCAGTCATAATAACGTTGTTAGAGGAAAGTCCATCAGTGGAGGGCAAACAGAAAACCATGGTGATTCCTGTAACTTCACATGTTGCTTAGGAATCTCTGAGTTGCTCTGGCCCTTGTCACCGAGCCCCACAGGAAGGGGAAGTGAAGAGACAGATGAGCACACCAAAGACGTCATAGTTTTGTTTTCCTTTTTTTAAAAATTTTTTATTGTTATGTTAATCACCATACATTACATCATTAGTTTTTGATGTAGTGACCTATGACTCATTCTGCATAACACCCAGTGCTCCATGCAGAACGTGCCCTCTTTAACCCATCACCTGGCTAACCCATCCTCCCACACCCCTCCCCCCTAGAACCCTCAGTTTGTTTTTCAGAGTCCATCATCATCTCTCATGGTTCATCTCCCCCTCCGATTCCCCCCCCTTCATTCTTCCCCTCCTGCTATCTTCTTCTTCTTTTTTTCTTAACATATATTGCATTATTTGTTTCAGAGGTACAGATCTGTGATTCAACAGTCTTGCCCAATTCACAGCGCTCACCATAGCACATACTTGTGTTCCTTTTGAAGGGAAGGTTTCTCCATTGGCAGGGAGAGGGGGGAGATTCCATTTAGAAATAAACTCAGAAGTTTTCTGTTCTTCTTAGAAAGGTCTGCCTTCAAGTGAAACTATGTCCCCAGAGCCTAACTGGGCCTTTCCCAAAGACTACGCAATAGAGGTGAGGGGGAAAGTCTCAACTCCAATGCAATCGCCTCCCTGTCTCACCTGGGAGTAAACTCAGTCTAACCCCAGACAGATGAGTAGACAACCTCACCCTCACATCCTATTTACCTCAGTTCCTTTACCAGAACAGGAGATCTAGCTTTCAACACAACCATACAAGGCATACTAAGGGTAAAAACCACGACAGCAAGCACTAGAATCACACTACCTAAGGCATCTAAGGCAGAGATGATGGCATTGGCAGGTTGGGAATTTCAAGTCCCTTCCATACCTGATATTGGATCTAAGCAAAAAGGGGGCAGTAGGAAGAAGAGGTGATGAATGTAAGCAGAGATATGAAACTCTAAGATTTTACCGGGATTCTGGACAATACCATAACAGAAATCAAGAATGCCTTTGATGGGTTCATTAAGAGACTCAACATACCAGAGGAAAGAATCATTGTGCCTAAAGAATTTCCGGTAGAAACTTCCCAAAAGAAAAACAAAGACAAATATTAAAAAGACAGCACAGAAAATCCAAGACCAGTGGGACAATTACAAATCGTGTAACACACACAGAATAGGAGCAGCAGGAGAATGGACAGAGAGGTAGTTGAAGCAATAATGACTGAGGATTTTCCTAAATTAATATAGCCACCAAACCACAGATCCAGGAAGCTCAAAACAAGGAAAGCAGGATAAATACCAAAACAAACACACCAACAACTAACGCCAATGATGCCTAATCCAGAATGTTCAGTCACAGGTGATTAAAGACAAAGAAACAAGTCTGGAAATCTGGAGCAGGGCTTGGGTGTGGGTGGTGGAAGGGGGAAGGAGAGCAGTAACCCTTACCCAAGAGGAATAAGGATAAGGACTACATCACACTTCCGAAACCTTGCCATCAAGAAGGATGAAATGTTTAAAGTGTTAAAAGAAACATCCAACGAGAAACCTGTGGCCAGTGAAATGATCCTTCAAAACACACTACAGAGTAAGGAAAACCGTCGGGGATAATGATGGGCATTACTTCAACGGTAAAGGTGTCAATCCTCCAAAAGACATAATAATTTCTCATGTGCATGCATTAACAACAGAGTGTCGAAGTACATCAGGCAGAAACTGAAAGAATTGCTGATGGAAACAGATGAATCCCTATTATAGCTGGGGAATTCAGAACCCTCTATCAGTCATTGACAGATCCAACAGATACAGAAATTCCATGAGAATACAGGTGAACTGAAAAGCATCACCAATCAACTGGATCCATTAACATCTGCAGAATAATCCATTCAACAACCAAACTAAAGACATTCTTCTCAAGTTCCCATGGAACATTCACTAAGAGAGGCCATATTCTGGGCCATAAGATACATCTGAACGACCAAAGGAAAAGAAATCACAGGACGTATGTTCTCAGACCACAAATGACTCAAACTAGACATCAAGTACTGAAAGATAGCTAGAGAATGACCAAAAAATGGAGATTAAACAACACACTTCTAAAGAACACATGGGTTGGAGGGCAGGTGGGTGGAGGGATGGATGAAAGAGGTGAAGGGGATTAAGAGTACACTTATTGTGATGAGCACTGAGAAATGTATAGAATTGCTGAATCATGTTGTACACCTGAAACTAATACTACACTGTTGGCCAATTATGCTTGAACTTAAAAAAAAAAAAAAAGAACATATGGATCACAGAAGGCACTGCAACACAAATTTAAATCTATTTCAATCTAGGTGATCATCAAAATTGATGTATTAGAGGGATATTTCTATTACTGAATGGATATAAAAGGTCCAATAACTATAAAATTTTCTGCTCATTTATGAAGAACAGTATATATAAGCTACTTTAGTATACTTACAGCGAGGATGGTTCTCCAGATATAAATGAGAAAGACACAAACTCCCAAGGGGGCAGTGATAATGGGAAGTTTCCATAGAACTCCAACCCCATCAGGGCCAAGAAGGAAACGGTCAGGCACAACATGGACAAGCTGAAATAACACGTGAGACAATGAGGAATCTCAAAGATTTACAATGTCTCTGTCCCAAACAATCAACTTTACAAACCCTCCACCAGCCTCCCCCAGGTAAGCACACCTCTCAACTGCCTCCCCATGGAGGAGAAGGAGCACAGAGGGATTACAAAGGAACAGGGGCAAACTTTTGGGAGTGATGAGTGTGTTTACTATCGTACTGTGCTGATGGGTTTCCCTGTGTTTACCTATGTCAACTATCAACAAACTGTATTCTTGAAAAAGATGTTGTGATCATATATACATTACATAACACTGAAGCTGTAGGAAAAATCTAATAGACAAATCTTAAGAGATTTTATTTTGCCTATAAACACATGGCAAATAAATTTTCTATAGCTAACAGAACTTAAGAATTTATAAGCCAACATAAAATAGACAAGATAAGTAAATGTAAACTTACAGTAGGTAAGAAGTCACTGACTTCTATTGTACATCCATGAAGGACCTGGATAAACTCCTCTGGAACCTTTCCAAAAATAGGCCCAAAATTTATGGAAGAATGAGAAAAAGCAAGACTAAAAAATGTACTAGAGATATAAATGAGAATGTTCTATGGACAGATGTTTATAGATCAGGACATGAGTGAGAGAGAGACAGGAGGCTTCTATTAGAAGAATATGGGATTATTATTTCAACAAAAATAAATTCGAATTACTGTTTAGTTTCTGAAAACAGTGATGTTTTCTTTCAATGCCCACTTTGCTTCAGAATCACAGCCCAAAATGTCAGATTTCAGGGGTACATAAAGATTTTCATAATCAGGTGATCTTGTTTATTTTGATGGTGTCTGTGACATTTTAAATTACTTGAACACCTATCTCCAAAAGCCAATGAAAGGCATTCATGTTCCTATTTCTCAGTATTGTAACTAAATCAGTCAAGAGCAACTCTAAAATTTGATTTTTAAAAAGATTTTATTTACTTATGTGAAAGAGAGAGAGAGAGAGAGCATGAGCAGGGGAAGGGGTAGAGGGAGACAGAAAAGAAGACTGCCGGCTGAGCAGGGAGCCCAAGCAGGGCTCAATCCCAGGACCCTGGGATCATGACCCAAGGCTAAGGCAGAAGCTCAACTGACTGAGCCACCCAGGTGACCATGAAATTTCATTTCTAAAAGAATACAAAATTCCTGGATATGGACACCAAAACAAAGAACACATCTCATTTTACAAAAACTGGAGTTCCAAGTATTTTAGGAGACAAGACGCTCACAATGCAATTCCTACTAATTCACACCAAGCTTGAATTTTGTGCAAACACAACTCTCTAGAAAGTACCCCTGAAATCTATAACATTTTCATCCTCAACCCTCACAGCTGAGGTCACAAACATGTGTGCTGGTGGGAAACATACACGGTCTTGGAACAGCCGCTGTCTGAAAGAGAACATTAGCTATCTGCTCAATGGTTGATCATGGGGATCAAATGCACAAAAGACAGAGGCCATCTTGTCACAAATGGAAAACACCCCCAGTTGTGGCCACGTGGTACATCTAGCAGCTGTCTGGATGCTGACCAGTAGCTGACTCTTAACTAGATGACATCCAATGGGGCCAATAACACTAGGTTCTAACAGACAATGGCCATGAGCAGGTGGAGGAGGGAAATGCGAGACCAGGTAGTTTATGCAAGAGCTCAGAGATGAGGGAGGGTGAGAAAGGCGAAGTGCTCTATGAGATGCAGCCTAGGCAGAGGGGAATATTTCCAATAAAGACTACGAAGAAATTCCCTCCATTGAAGACTCAAAAGAAACAGAATCGAGTCTATTTTGACTGGAGGTATTCATGTGGGATGATTCTGCCTCAACACTAGGGTCCTTCCTGACTACTCCCACTTTGCAAATCCCTCTCTAAGAATCTGGTGTAGGCCGATCTAAAGAAGTCTGCTTATTTCTAGAGTGTTCCCTGTCTGTCTCTCTCTCCTGAGGGTAAGGGTTTTCTTTTTTAAGGAGTGAAATAGTCACACTAGGAACCAGGTATTTCTTTATATTTGGACAATCCTAAGGACATTCAGGAGCTTTTGACTTTGGGGAAATCAACACTCTGTACACACTGGGCCAAAGAAAGGGTAACAACTCATTCACTTCCTGATTACATCAATCCATCAGATTTTCCTGTGACAAACGTCCCAGCGAGATGCGGTCACTTAGTGTCTGCTGGGCTTCTCAGGGCTCCCACGGACCTGGTGGGACACAGAGTCCCTGGGGACAGCCTCCAAGGCCAGGAGGAAAGGGCTGACTCCGAAGTTGTTACAAGTCAACCAACCAGGAAGCACAGAGCACAAAGGACATTTCACTGTTTAACACTCAAGACCCAACACCAATGCTTAAGATACCACTGTTCCCAGGGCTGCCAAACTTCACAAATATGAACAATGTGCTGACATGAAATCAATGTAGAAGATGGACCCTAAACATACAAGGCTTGAAGCAGGATCTTCACTGGGCTTCCAGGAGCCAGTCTAATGCCCGTAGCTCCTATAAATTAGCATTCCCGACATTTTAAAAGACAATTTTAATGAGATATAATGTACATATCATACAAGCCCCCTATTTAAGACAAAGAGCTCAATGGCTTTTCATATCTTCTCAAATCCTTCCTTCTTGCCACCATTACCCTAGTATTTGCAGGTTTCCATCCTGCCAGAGCTGCTCTTTTTGGACCAAGCAGCACAGACAGGACCCAGAACTTGATGTGGACGGCTGTGGCCACAGCCCCTTCAGGCTGACCGAGAAACCTGCCCTGTGGTCCTCGGTCTTCAGGAAGAACAGCAGTTCTTCTGAAGTTCTCACCAAGAACCCCATGAAAAAACTATTATTTGACCACCATGTGAAAGAACCCAGTAGGAATGAAGACACCACTAGCAGCTTTGAGTCACCGGGGGGCTCAGGCCGTTCAGTGACGACGTCTTGGTTTGGATCAAGTCATGGTCTCATGGTCCTGAGGATGAGCCCCTCTTCAGGCTCTGGACTCACTGCACAGCTGGCTTGGGATTCTCTCTCTCCCTCCCCCTCTGCCCTTCCCCCCACACCTGTGAAGATGCCAGTGAAGTGCCATGTTTACTCACATTTGGGTTTGGGGAACCGGGACACCGCAGCAAGAGCACCAGGAACAACAGCCTCTGCACCTTCATGTCTTGGTCCTTTCAAGGGGTGCTGGGGCGTCAGGGAGGAGGTGGAGATGGGGGGTGGAGTGGAGGTAGGGGTGGGTGGGGTAGGGAGGGGTGGGAAGGGGTGGGAAGGGGATAGGGTTTTAATGAGGGTTGGGAGCAGGGTAGAAATAAAGGGTGGGATTGGGGAAGGCGTTTGTCAGGAGAAGAAGGGGTCAGCGACGGTGTCAGGGTCAGAGTAAGTACTCGAGGGGAGGTTCAGAAAGGGTAGTAGGTCAGCAGGTTAGTAAATCACTAGGTCAGCAGGAAACAGTAGCAGGTGAAGGGATTGGAGGAGGATACACTTTTCTCCAAGCCTTCCCCTGGTTGAACCATTCCTTAGCAACCCAGAGGCTTTATACTCTCTCTCAGCCAATCATCTGCCTTTGCCCCTGGTAGGTCATAATGGGCACCCCGCGTGACCTCATATTTAAAGAGCCCCTTCCCAACTGGCGCCCCACCACGTGCCATCCCAATAACAGGTCCTCTCTGGAACTTTGGCCATCCTTCTTGTTTCTGCTGCCTCCCAACCCAGGTCCCTGTTGCCCTCTTCTGGGCGCTATCTCCTTCCTTCCAGAACTCCCATCCTAGAGCCATTGGCTGAACAACATATAAAGCAAAGGAGGACAGAACTGCAACAACAAGCAAATACACAAGCAGAGTGGGAGGTTTCAACCCTCTCTCAGTGACTCAAAGCAGACAGAACATCCATAACATGTAGACCTTGAGAGCAAACCATCTGAATCCCACAGCTATCTCCGTATGTCTGTCCACATCCATAGACCACTGTGGAGGACACATTAACTTTAGGCATATAGGATACACTTACAAAAATGCACCCGATCTATTTTGGTCATAAGGGACATTTCAATATGTTTCAGAGGCATGAAATCACACAGAGCATGTTGTGGTAATATAATGTGCTAGAAATCATGGATAAAAAGCTCACTAGAAATTCCCATATGTTTAGAAATTGAGAAGTACCTCTACAAATAAAATAGGAGTAAAGAAATCCCAAAGAAAAAGCTACATTGGAACCGAATGAAATAAGCATGACAAAATTGTAATCAGATATGTCTTCTGGGCTGGTATATCCTGGGATATTAGTATGAGAAGACCGAATGGCCTCAAAATCATCCCTAATTGACGGAGACATTTGAACACCTCCAACAGCGGTAGATCTGTCGCTTATCTATGTGACCCTGCTACCCACTAGCTTGGGCTTTACGATATGAACCTCACAGGGGAAACAATCCAAGCTGACTCTCATGGGATCTCTTGGGACCTCCAGGAATGAGAGCATTTTAAGAGAAAACATTCACCAGCTTCTCTCCTGGGGGATCCAAGACAACACCCAGAGAGCTGGCAGCCCCAGGTGTGCTGGACGGGGAGAGCCAAGCAGGTGGGCAGGGCCAGGGACCCAGGTGACTGGACAAACCCCCTGTGATCATCTCTCTTGGGCCCTGTCCTGAGCCGAACCTCCTAAACTGTTTCTCTCTAGGACTAACACAATTAGTGTTATCTAATTGTGAGTTAATCCCAACTCATTCAGGCCCAAGGCAGCTGAAAATCAATGCTCTACAAACCACCACTTACTGTGTAAATTTCTTGTAAACAGGAACCATTTCAGCACTGCTAAAATAGGAACGCAGTATCTTTAACATAAATATAAATATATTTATATAATTAGCCATAAAATATAAAGAAGCCATAGAAGACACGCAAACGAAAACAAAACAAGGATAGCAAAACATTTGTATTAAATTCTGTTTAGAAGCTGCTGCCCGCCTCCAGAGCCCCAGAGTCGGGTGGTCCTGGTTATAGAAGGAGAGACCAGCTACAGAAGGGGTGGAGTCAGACTATATATATATAGGCCCAGCCTATAAGGGGGACTAGGGAATTCCAGGAAGGATGGCCGGGGTCACCCTGATTATAACTGGAACAGGGAGCAGGGAAGAAGAAGCAGTGAACAGAGTTTGGGGGCCTCGAACAGGTGAGATCACTCGTGGAGGTGAGGAAGTGTCCCCAAAGCCAGTGTCAGCCTCCTGTCTACGAAGCCCTTCGTGGCCCCTGGAAACAGGGCCGGGAGCCTAGAGTGTGAGATCCAGCTGTGCTGCTTACCAGCTCTGTGACCCTGGGCTGCTTTCCTTCAGTGAGCTGGGGCGTCCAAGCCTGTGTCCATAACTGTGCTGAGGACAAGAGGAAGCCCCGTGCTGAGCACCTGTGGACATTAGCATCATCATCTCCATGGGGCAAGTGCCTTCCCAGATCCGGTGCCTCACGTCTCACAGCTGTTCAAAGCAACACTGGTGACAACCAGAGGTCCCTCCTGTTTCAGGCCTGTGCTAAGCCCTGCCCTTTGCACACATCATCTCTCGGGCTACAGATGGCAGGAGGACCTCATAAAGTGTGGGGAGAGCTCCGGGCCCCTGGGGAGGCTGAGGGATTCCTGGGCCCTGGGAAAGGGTGAGTGATTGGGGGGCCCTACGGAGGGCTGGGGAACGGAGCTCCTGGGCTCCATGGAAGGAATGGGGGATTGGGCACCCCGGAAAGGGCTGGAGGAGTCTTGCAGGTTTCCTGGGTCCCCACAGGGCAGATCCCTCCCACACCTAAGCTGGTGCAGGCTGGGACCTGGAAGCAGCACCATACAGAGGCAGCGGGTCCATGGCATGCTGGATGGAGCGGTGAGGAATGGTCTGGCAGGCAGGTGGAACCACCAGGCTGGGCTGCCCTCGGTGCCTTCCCCCTTCCCCAGCCACCTCACTAGCTTGGCCCTGACCTCACCCTCCAGCAGGGCATGGGCAAGCCAGGCAGAGGTGGACACCTGGGGCCAAGGAAGGGTCCCTCCCCAGACCTCTGTGTTGTGGTTGTTGAACAGACAAAAGGAGTCACCCAGGGCCCCTGGAACCAGGGGGGAGAATCTGGCCCCAGAGTCCTCTCCAGTGGGGCTTGGGGAGAATCATGGAGGGACCGCATTTAGCTCTGGTTCATTCACAGAATCAAAGCACAACACAAGTCCCCTTGGATGCTCATGTCCCTTTATTACCCCAGCTACATCCTGGGCGCTCACTCGGGGACTTGGAAGCAGGAGAGTAATGGATAGTAATTTAAAAGAACAAAAATGCTGCAATGTGAGCACTCCTGATGCTCTTAAAATCAATGTCCAACACTCCCCTCCTCACCCTCCCCATAGTGAGGAAACTGAGGCAGCCAGGGATTTGGCAAAGAAGACACAGTGGTTTCTGAGGGTTTTGCTGATTACATCTGACCAAACTCCTTTTTCCGAAGGTCACTTCTTTTAATCTCGCCAGTGACGGTTTCGGGCAGCTCTGAGACAAATTCCACCTGGTCAAGGATAAAGCAAACCCATCCCAACTTAGTCCTGCTGTCATTTCTTACCAATGCCCCAGGCTCCTCCTCTGCCCCTGCACAGTCCCCCAGACGGGCTGGCACCATGTGGTGGCCCCAGTAGGCTCCACCAAGGCATGTCAGGGTGTCCCCTGACCCGGGAAGTTGGATGCAGCCCTGTGATGTGCTCTGACCAGTGAGATGTGAGTGGGAGTGAGGCGTGCCACCTCGAACAGAACACTTGAGACCACTGGGTCTGGCATCCACTCTGTCCATCTCTTCTAGCACCCGGCAGTTACCTATGGTGGGTGCTCCTTTATCCTGGTCCCAGGAAGACCATGCGGACATGTGGCCGGAGCAAGAAAGATACTTCCCTAGTAGGAGCCACTAAGACAGGGGCTACTAGTTCCTCACAGGAACATCAGCCCATCCTAACTGGCCTGCATCCTCCAGTCTACTCTCTAGGAGGCGGCAGAGCCTTACATGTGAAGGACGAACTCCGTTTTCAGATACACTGGGTTTGAGTTCAGCTCTGCCCTTTTCTTCACTCCAACCTCAGGCAATTTACTGTGAGTCTCTGAGCCTCTCCCGTTTCCATTCTGTCAAATGGATGGTTATACCATCTCAGGTTTGGGGGGATTAAATGAAATAACACATGTAGAGCTTTGAGTCCAGCGCCCGGCACACATGTTCAATAAATATTAGCTATCTAGCTTTGGGTAAACACTCAGAAAGCACAGCAATGTATTATTACAAAAGAAAGACACGTTAAATTTTTGACCCATGTATCCTTGCAAACGTGGTTTTTCAACAAGTCAGATAACATGTATATTTATTCACAGCCTGCTTTTGTCTCTTAATAATATATTTTTGTGATGTTTTTTATGTTACAAATAAGAGATCTGCATCATCTTTTTAAATTATAGGACAGCATTAATTACCACGAATAATTTAATCATTTCTCTATTGTTGGACATTTTCATAGTTCTCACATGGCACTGAAAACGAGGTAGAAAAAAAATCTCTCAGAATGTATTTTATGCTACAATAAATATTATTTTGTTACCTTTTGTTTGTTATGTATCTATATATGTATTGGGCTTCAATTTAGAATATATTTCTTACTACAAATAATGTTTTTTAAAAGTGTGGCAGTTGTTGACTTGAATGTCTTTTTCTTTTTTTCTTTTTTTCAAGATTTTCTTTTTATTTATTTGACAGAGAGAGACACAACGAGAGAGGGAACACAAGCAGGGGGAGTGGGAGAGGGAGAAGCAGGCTTCCCGCCGAGCAGGGAGCCCGATGAGGGGCTCGATCCCAGGACCCTGAGATCGTGACCCGAGCCGAAGGCAGACGCTTAACGACTGAGCCACCCAGGTGCCCCGAATGTCTTTTTCAAATTGTGAAAGATTTCAAATATCCTTCTTGGATATTTCTAGGCTCTTGGCTGATTTTTTTCTGTAGGTTTTTTGTCAGCCTTTTTGTTTTCTGACACAGGATAGAGGTTTCCATGATTAAGATGGATCTCCCCTAAACCCCTAAGTTGAATGCTTCTTCAGTAGAGAAAAATGCTCATTCCATGGGCTACGTAAGCTCCACCCCAGCCACCCCAGGAGATTTGGGGCAGCAGAGCCCAGGGCCCACTGGACGGGACCAGGCCCCATCCCTCTGCCCTCACTCACCTTCCTGGGGTACTTACACGGGGCTG